GGAATTTATAAATATAACGAAGAGTGTTTCTGTGGAAAAAAAAAGAAAGGAAGTTTTCGAAATCGTAATCACTTAATATTATCATCAGTGAAATCAATATGACCGAACTAAGAGAATAAAAGTGACATCCGGCGATGCAAATGCATAGAGCCGGAGAAAAAAAAAGTGCAAGTCAGAAAAAAAACGCGTGTGGTGTTGGCGTATAATTTGCTCTGCAATAATGATTGCCGAGTGGGTATGTATATATAAAAAGTGTTATCCCGATTTGCCTTTATTTATTTATTTATTTATATATATATATATATATATATATATATATATATATAAATACACGAAACATATATGTATATATATATATATATATATATATGTATACATGCATACATGTATATGTATACACATATGCATACGTACATACACACACACACATGCGTACATACGTACGTACATACACAATACATATATACATACACACACACACATGCGTACATACGTACGTACGTACATACATACATGCATACATATATATATATATATATATATACGAGCGTTTAATCTGCGGCTTTAAGATAAAGCAAAATTGTTTAAAATTGCCAAATAAAAAACTATTTTTATCAAATCGTTTTGAACTTCAATTTTTCACGATAGAATGCCAACAATAAAATGAAATTTAAAATTTTTTTAATATATAATGGATTATTGAATGTTTTCTTTCTTTAATTAAAATACAATAATGATTTTTTGCTTTTATACACTTTATATACGGTTTAAGTAGTTGTAAAAATTTTAAAATTACAAAATTCAAACGTTCATGATTAAAACTTCTAAAGAATAATTTCTATTCTTAATTTATTTTCAAGACTTTATCCCAGAGTATAAAATTTTATTTTTAAGCCAAAAAACAAATAGCTGTCTCAGCTAGTGTACCTAATGTTTCCATATATTAGTGTAAATGTCATCTTTTTGAATTTTTTTTTTATACATTTCCCCATTTATATTTTTAATTGTATTTTTATAATTCTATATTATATTTATTATTATATTTTTATGAAATATTATAAATATTTAATATGAAAGGAATTACTTTTTTTTTTATAGGAAATAACATTCTTATTTGTAGTTTTATAATTATATAAAATTATTAATACGTATATATTTCCCCTTTAATATTATTAATTACATTTTTTCAATTTCACAGTCATATTTGAATTGCGTACGATTCCAAAAAATTTTCAACGCCATTATTAATCATAATAAATATCTTATTGCTTTGTAAATATTAGAATGAACCGTAATTATTCTCAAATTCTTACAAATCGGTGTCTGCAAAAGCTCGATCGATATGTTTTCTTATATATCTATCATCATCTTTTAATAGTAATTACGTGTTTTAATTTTTACTTTTATATTTCTTAATATTTAATTTTTGTTCTTTGTTATTTTTTATACATTAACAAATTTTACAGTTCGTTAAATGTATAAGCCATCAAATTAAATACGATTAAACATAAATAAAAACATTAAAATGATGTAAATATCTCGATTTGGAAAACAATGAATGAATAAATAACGTAAATCATTGTTGAAATTTAAGAACACATTATATTTAATTACAATAGTAAGTTATTGCAATTTCCTATATTTTATACCATCGGTCGAATAAACTATTGTGTAATTCCCAGTGAAAGTTAGGAATAAACAATGAAACTGCATGTAACGAAATAACAGGAAAATGGAAGTGAGAAACATTTATTTTATAAACTATAGGAATGAATGAATTGCATTTTAATTAGTTTTTCTTTCAAACGTTTTTATTAAATTAAATTATTCCATTGATTTATTGCAAACATTGAATATTATTCTATCATTCATTATATAAGTTGTTTAATATACATAATTTTATAATATATGTCAAATAGGCATTCAAATTTATTAATAAATACGCATTCTCATTTTTCTTATTTTTTTATTTTTTTTTTATTTTATTTTTTTTTTATATTTTCAATTCCTTTAAAATAATGATTAAAACATTTCAAGAATATCATTAATAACTGGGGATTTTTCAGTTGAAATAAATTATGAATCGATTGAATAGTAAAATAGAATATTTTTAATAATATTTGTGTTTAGATCAGAATTACGTGACCTTTTAGCAGCCTAATGGATATATGAATATTATCGTAAAATAATAAAATTACAAACATTACATAAAAATGTAATATATATCCGATGATTAACTATAGTCGTTATACGATCGAGTGACAATTTCATGAAAGGCTCGAAAATATTGCTTTCTTCTTAATTCTACTATTAATATTGCTAATATTTATAGTTAACATCATGTTGAAAAATATTAAATAATAGTTGAGACGATATCGATTACTGTTGTTTTGTGAAATATATAATTATAAATTATTCAATTTTAACAAACCGTGAACAATTTTTTATATAGAAGTCGAATTTCTGTACAATATTCGTAATTTATAATAATAATAATAATAATAATAATAATAATAATAATAATAATAATAATAATAATAACTCGTATAAATGCTTAGTATTGTATGTAAATTGAATTTGTACACAGCGATTAATTCACTTTACAGAGATATTTAATGTATATCTACGTTTCTCCACCGAAGGTTCCCAACACATCAACGTAAATTAAATTCTTTAATTGAACTCTATTTGAAATTTTATAATTTTCAAGTTGAAAATATTTTCTTTTTATAATTACAATCAATACTAAAGATTCTATCCGTAACAAAGTGTAATTTACATTATTTTTAAAGTTTATTTTAATGAAAGACGCATTTCAATTTTAATTATTCAAGAACATGATTAAATAATTCTAATAAAACTGAAAAAATTATTTACAAGTAATTTTTAATCATTTTCCCTCTAATCACTGCCGTACGTGACATTAACTCAACATATACGGCTGGAAAATAGAAACGCCTGCGTCCCATCTTGGACGACACGATTTGTACGGAATAATAATTTGTCACACTGTTTCTTTTGAACTCATATATAGACATAATAATGATAACAACATTAGCCATTAATGTATTATATTCAGTAACACTTCCGCGTTTCTTCATTCTGCACACTGAACTTTAGGGAGGCTTTCGACTAAACTATTATTAATGCATACGAGTAGTCTCTCACCAACGTTACTTAATGCCAGATGTTTTTATTTGCCACTCTACGTTTACTGCTTGCTTCTTAAACATCGCATAATTTAACCAATCACATTTGTTTTTCTTGTTATAATAATTATTTAATTAAAAAAAAAAAAAAAAAAAAAAAAAAAAAAAAAAAAAAAAAAAGTATATAAATGCGGTGTGCCCTTTGTACGTTCTCTTTTGACTTTTTGAAGGTATTTATCTCTATTTATTGTTTAAGTACAGACTATAATTTATCTAGTATATTTTTAATTTGCATGTAATGATAATGATATTGTTATGTTCAATCTACGGGAAACTATGTTATAAAAACATATTTTTAACAAATATTCGAATTCATGTCCGAATAGCTTATGCGATTGAATTTCTTTGCATTTAACATTGTTATGACTTATGCAAATATTGAATTTATATAATTACGAATAAATTAAACGGTCCTGACAGGCATTTTTGTAATCTTTCCAATAGCTATTAAATCTACTAAAAGGGTTTAAGTAATACCTTCTTAATCTGCATATAAAAATAAAATAAATATGCTATAAATAATGTATTTGGTGGATTTTCATTTACCGCACAAGGTAATCATAAATTGTCTAATAACAGCAATAAAAGTATCTAATTCACATTAAAACGACTTATTATAAATAAGCTGTCATACTTATGATGAATGATCGATAGAATTTGCACCTTCAAAACTTGTTCCACTATTCATTTTAATTAAGAAAGAAGTACAAACGCTCAAAGAGAAATTATAATACATAACAATGTTTAAAATTTTAATAAAAAATTTTTTTCTTCTTACAATTATTATCTATAATTGCAATCGTATTTTTTATATATCATTACGTAGTGCAAAATTATTATTAGTAATATTAAAAATGTATCTTATGATTTACATTAACGTTTGAAGCATATAACATTTATTTAGACTCTTTCAAAGAAAAAAAAAAAGAAAAAAAAAAGTTCGTGACAGCTTTCTTAGATGTTATACTTATCCCCTATCTTTATTGCATACCAGTACTGTAAAAATCAATTATTACATACGTTCTTTCCAGCGCTTATAAGATTGGTGGAATAATTTTCTCTCTATTTTTCATTAAATCTTTCATTTGAAAGTTACTTATCAAGACTTTGACTCTGAACTGCTCTCATTTTCTCCCGCCATCTTATTTCTCATAATTATACGCGACACATTTTATATAATAAGCCACGATTTGCAATGCACTTTTTTTTTATTTTCAATAAGTATGATATTTTCATGAAATGATTGCTCGAGATTGTTAGATTACGAAAAGTCGCTCTAGTTATAAGATTTATAAAAATTACGAAAAATATTTGGAGAAAAATTTTCATTCCTTCTTGTTGTTGTATAGATTATGAAATTAATAAGAACATAGTAGCGCTTGTGTAAAAAAAAAAAAAAAAAAAAAAAAAAAAAAAAAAAAGAATAATAAATAAATAAAATGAAAAAATTAAAAGTAGAAATTTCGCTACCATGTAATTCGTTAAGGAAATAACGCTTTAATGATTTTCATGGCTTCACTCTTAATATGAAAAATATAAATTTATATTGATAATTAATACTGAAAATTCACTAGAAACGTTTAATGAAAATGTAACGTAATGATTATGCAGCGGTTGAGAATTTAATTGTCCAAAAGCATATCCATTCCCATGTGACAATATCTCGTTACAGCAAGTACCTTAAAATAATTCAAATTTGAATGGGAAATGAATCACTTTGGCGTTTGAATTTATCGTCGTAAGACTCATTGACTCCAAAGGCATATAAGCTCATTGGGTTTATATTTTCAGCTGGACACATGGTTCGGAAGGCCAAAAAAGTCGGGCCGAGGCGGTGGCCTCAACCAAAATATGATGCCTCGGCCGCACTCCGGGGACGACTTCAACGAGGTCGAGCAGCAGCGCTGCATGATCGAGAGGATGGATGAGGAGACGACAAACGACAAGTTCGAAGAACTTTTGGTGAGTTTTTTTTTTCGCAACATTATAAATACAAATGCACGTGAAGGCGCGTATCGTTGCTGGCGGAATACACTACACAACACTACAATTGGCTTACATATGTTTTGCCCCAGCAGCTTTATTTAAATTATATCAGACATCTCGATTGTTGTTCGCGTAATCGTATCCTTGAATTAGGAATTATACGAGCTAAAAATTGTAAATATTTCGCTTTATTAGAATAATTAATTAGGATATTGTACTTTCATTGGAAATGAAATGTTTTGCTACTTTGATTATTTTCTTACGGTCTTGTTTAAGGTGCATTTTACCAGAAGGTGTGTATATTTTGTACAATTTGCTAGCTAAAATAACGTCGCAAACAATTGGATATTTTAAAGAAAGGAAATAATTATAAAATCTCTTCAATTTATATGCGATCTTCGTCTTTTAGGTGTATCGCTTATCGTTCGATTTACGTCTCGTATGTCGGATTAAAAACAAAAACAAAACAAAAAGCAAACTAAAATATTAATCATATTTAATTTTATAAGGATCTGATTAATAGGCGTAATATAATTTAAAATGTTTATTGGATTTAAAAATAATACATAAATGCGTACAAGTATTAATTTTTATACATTGTGCATACTCTTTTATCCCAGGCAAATATGAATCTAACAGAAGAGAAGAAGGAACCACTACGAAAACAGTCGGAGAGGAAAAAAAAGGAAATGCTGATTTTGCATTATAAAGGAAGTATTCAGGACAGTAGGAACAAGTTTGACAAACCTGCTGATTATATACAGTACTTGTCCCAACCAGACTTAAGCGTTAACAAGATTCATACGTGCATCGAGTCTTTAAGGATTGCCCTAACGAATAATCCATTGAGTTGGGTCCAAGAGTTTGGTACCAAGGGCCTCAAACAAGTTCTCGTCATTCTCAATGAGTGTTATCGGAAGTAAGTAACACATATGATTAAGAGCTTTATACTTAAAAGAATACATAATAAGTTAGCTATATAACTGTAAATAATAATTTTAAAAAAAATTAAACACGTAATTAACATGTAAACGTAAAATTTTACTATTTCAATATTTAAGAGAGTGATATTCACTTTTATATAGAAAAATCGAATTAAAATTTAATTGTAAAATTATCTATTACATCAATATTTCAATATCAATAAAAAATATAATAATAATAACTGCCGATAACTACACGATAAAATATAAGTAATTTTATTATTTTTGAAATTTTTATAAATGAATTACATTCCTTTCCTTTAACGTAATTTTACGCTACAGTTTATTGCAAGAAAATAAATTATTATTGAAATTCTATAAAACTTTTAAAGATTTTGAAATATAAATTGTACAAAAAAAAAAAAAAAAAAGAACAAAAAAAACAAAAATTAAGTAAAATTGTAATATGTCAGTAAATTTCAAAAATTCTTGAAATTAATAAAAGATTTGAGATTTAAAAGTGTGTGTAGAATTTCAATTAATGGTAGTATTGATATAACGGGTTATTGTTTTGATTCAACTTAAGACGTACTGAACCCAATTGATGTCCCAGATACAATATCAAACTAGTCTGCCTTAACTTTCTTAATAAATTAATATAAAGAACAACTGTAATTAAGTTTTTTCTTCTTTTTTTTCCTCCATTTTATCATATAATCAGTAAATAGATATTGTAAATTTGCTATCGGCTATGTTTTTCTGCATTGAAATTAATCAGAAGCAAAAAATGAAAATTATTTACATTAATACTTAAAAATTTTTTCAACAACAAACCTTAAAACGCATACACATATATTTATTTATTTATTTATGTATAGAATTATGGAGCACATGAGACTAATTGCTAATATTGTTCTATTGCAGTTTTTTGATTCTTTTCAATAGGTAATTTCAGACAATTAATTAATATTAATGTGCCAGTATTAGTTGTTCGCTTTTAGGCTTCTTATTGTATTATTTATTTTACTCTTTAGTTTTATTGGAAGAAGTATTGATCACTGAAATATATTCTTATACAGATAAAACAAATGAAAACGGATGTACATTGTGCAAGAAATTTTTGAATACGTATAATGAAATTAGCGTTTTTCCTTTTATTTTCAACGTATTTTATAAATAAAAACTTATTTGTTGTTCTATTGAATCCAATTTATTTTTATTGAAAATTAATTAACGTCCAATAATTATTATTTTAGAACAACTTGTTTCCTTCAATATACTATTGAAATAAAAAATTTTCCCAGTAATATTCGTCTCTTTTTCTTCTTTTTTTTCTTTTTTTTTTTTTAGTGTAGTTGTAACTGCTTTGAGATGTAATAAAAATATGATGATTTTGAATAAATGATTTCAGTGATCGAAATACATTTCAAATAGTGTAATACTTCTACCATAATTATTTAACTGTTTGCTAATGACAAATTGCATAGCTGTGTTTTTTACTCAAAAAAAATTTGAAATAATATTTTTGAAAAAGTAAAGCGTAAGCTTATGGCTGGTCTTTTTTTTTTTTTTTTTTTTTTTTTTTTTTTTGCATTAAATAATAATGCATTAGTTTTCCAGTGATTAAAGTAGCCTTCCACTTTCCATTTTAATTTATTTTTACCTAAATGTAATTATATATGTAAATATACTGCTAATATCAGCGAGGACTGAATTCTGTTTTTATAACTTGTTGCACGAATAAATAAGTATGTTTCTATTACTTACTTTGTTTACTTTATCTATTAGTTAAGGTAGCCCAAAAATTTATGTAAATTAATTGCATAAAAACACAATTTTCTATTGCACGCAACATACTAGTATATAATGAACTATGTATATAGAAAAAAAATTTTTCAGAACATTGCAAATAAAAATCAAATTTTCATAACGAAATACAAATTTCAACGTGAACTACCTGTTTTATCAACACTTATCAATAGCAAATAAAAGAAGTCTCGGCTTATTCCTTCCTTCCTTCAATGGACATCGAAGTAATTTCTAAACTTTTATATCGTCCACTTAATTTGACGATTTACGAATAATGCATTTCGAGTCTAAAATTTCTATAACATTCGAAAAGCATTATTGTTCTTTATCCAATGCATTTATCTCGAAATCTCTTTAACTTAAATAATGTACATTATTAGAGCACCATGACGATTAATGTTAAATAATTTATTAAAAAAAAAAAAAAAAAAGAAAAAAATTTTTAAGTCAACGATAAGAGCCATATCATAATTAACAAAATATTCAAAATATAGATGTACCCGTGCACGTAGTTGCCGTCCATCGCTCATATCTCCTTGTATTTAAAAAAACTTGAACTAATTATAACGACGATGCTCACAGCGACAGCCGATACGAGAGGATCCAATACGAGTGCATACGGTGCTTGAAGGCCATCATGAACAACACTGTTGGGATAAAGGAAATATTGGCACACCACGAAGCCCTGACGATAGTCGCGCGGTCCCTCGAACCCAGCAAACCATCGGTCATGTGCGAGGCGGTGAAACTCCTCGGCGCCGTCTGCCTTATATCGAGCGACAGTCACAAAAAGGTCCTCGACGCCATTACGATGAACGGAGAGTTCAATGGGAGGGACCGATTTTTGCCCATTGTTCAAGGATTGATGAACAAGCAAAACGAAAATTTGAGAGTAAGCTCGTTAATTGCTTTTACCGGGAAAACACGCCAGTTTAGGCCATTGTCATTTCCCATGCTCACGTACAAATTGGTATGCCACTAAAGTTATAAATTACCCAAATTCACTTGAGCGCTCAAAATGACCTTCCCAGTTTCTTTTTCGCAAGTATAGCGAAATGCCGGTTGACAGTTATTCAAAGGTTTCCGTCAATTCGCTTTGTTTCGTTTCGTCAATTCAAATCAAGAAACTTATTGTTACCAATGGATTCAAGATTTTCAACGTATTAAGAACGTATTAAGAGAATATCGCAATAAAAACAAAACAAAAATAAGTTTGCTTTTCAATAGTTTCAATTTATCATAGTAAATGCTGTAATGTAGATAGATAAATAAATTAAAGTAAGATTAATCGTGTTTCGTTTTGTTAATTTTTGCAAATTACGGAAACTGTTTGTTAGAAGGTTAATAAATTTTACTTATTCCGGACAGATTTTTATAAAAAATACGCATTTAAGTAATAAAATTAGCAGCAAATACATATTTCCCACTAGTTTCTATTAAACAATCACAATTATTTTTAAATTAATTATTTTTTCATTATCAAAAGTATTATTTATTAAAAATAATTTTTTTTTTTTTTTTTTTTTTTTTTTTTTTTTTTTTTTTTTAATTATTTTCAGGTGGTATGTCTTCAACTTATCAATTCCATAATTTCGTCGGCTGAAGAATTGGATTTTCGATTGCATTTGCGAAATGAAATAATGAGAGCCGGCTTAGCCGATATTTTAGAAACGTTGGAGGGCGAAGACGAATCAGAAGACTTAACAAGGCATTTAAAAATTTTTAACGAGTACAAGGACGAAGATTATGAAGAATTTGTACAAAGATTCGATCATGTGAGATTAGAATTAGATGATGTAAACGATTGTTTCGAGGTGGTGAAGAATATGGTTATGGATACTGTAGCGGAACCTTATTTTTTATCGATTTTACAACATTTATTATTTATTAGAGACGATGCTTTAATTAGGTAAGCATATTCATATTGAATAGTAATAAGTTGCAAATACATAAGTAATTAGATCAAAGTACATGGAAAATAAAATAAAATTTATTTTTTCTCGTATACAAAAGTTGTTGTTGTTGTTTTTTTTTTTTTTTTTTTTTTTTTAAATTATGACAAAGACTCTGAATATCTAGTAAGCTCTTTCCTTACAAGATTCATTATAAGATTTAGTAGCTAAGTATTATTGAAAATGGTTACCTTTTCTCTTATTAGCAAATTGTAAAAGTAGTAACCAAGTCATTTTAAATAGAACCGGTCATAAAATAATAGCATGTAATGTGAAATTCTATTGTGATTTTGTAGACCTGCTTATTATAAATTAATAGAAGAATGCGTATCGCAAATCGTACTCCATCGGTCTGGCTGTGATCCAGATTTTAGTGCAACGAAACGTTTTCAAATTGACGTGCAACCACTTATCGAGACGCTGGTCGAAAAGTCACGGGCTGAAGAGGAACAACGACTAATCGAAATGTCGCAGAAACTCGAGGAAGCTATAGCGAAAAAGCAGGAAGCCGAAGCCAAGCTCCAGCACGCTGAAAATGTAATACGTGAATTGGAACATGGAACTGGCAGAAATGGAAGCAATCCACCGGTACTTTTCCATTTAATTAATTATTAAAGTGACGAGTTCAGCTTTATAAAGACAAAATAAAAATAATAGTTGCGCTCGCTCGCGCGCCCGCCCGCCCGCATCTAGAATATCTTTTACCAAACAATCTACAATCTAATCGAACAATCGAGAATTTTTATCTATGACTAATGCTTATAGAAACTCGGGAACTGTCCACCTCCGCCTCCAATGCCTGGTTGTATAGGCCCAGGAGGTGGTCCACCTCCACCTCCACCGCCACCGATGATGGGAAGTAATTTCGGAGGCGCACCACCACCGCCGCCAATGCCTGGTACGGGTGGGATCCGAGCGCCACCTCCACCTCCTTTCCCTGGTAGCGGACCAGGCGGTGGACCACCACCACCCCCTATGCCGGGTGGAATGGGCCCACCTCCACCCCCTATGATGGGTGGGCCAAGGTTACCGATGGTTAATTCCGTGCAGGTATTGCCGCACGGTCTTAAGCCTAAGAAAAAGTGGGAGGTCGAAGGGCCACTTAAGCGAGCCAACTGGAAGGCGGTGAGAATTACATTGTATTTCTTAATATTATAAGGAAATATCGTTCGATAGAGCAATCGGATCCATCAAATAAAAAGCTTCTTTCGAATGCATTGCCGTAAAGTCTGTGTTTTTTAATGCCATACGAATTAAGAAATACTATATTAAAGAACAAAAATGTGTGTATATATATATATATATATATATATATATACCTCTACTCATGTTAGATCCTAAATATATTTTATCGTTCATATGGTCTTTCGGAGAAGTACAGTCGATATGTTGTATATTATATTTTATGACAAATACACCTTTATAATTTTATTTTATTATTTTATTTTATAGATATTGCCTCACAAAATGTCAGAAAAATCATTTTGGGTCAAAGTCCAAGAAGACAAACTGGCAAGTCCAGAAATCTTAACCGGATTAGCTAAAAAATTTTCCTCAAAACCAGCGAGCAAAAAAATGGACGACGTTGTTGATAAGTATGTTACAATTATACATAATCTTGCTTTTTTATTGGCTATTTATAATCTATGAGTATGGTAAATAGGTATAATTTATATAACTTTAGATCGGTGCCATCGAAAAAAGTTAAAGATCTGAAAGTCCTCGATAGTAAAGCAGCGCAAAATATTTTAATTCTCCTAAATGGTACCTTAAAACATACTTCGTACGAAGAAGTTAAGACTTGTCTGTTAAGATGCGAAGGGCCTGTTATTAATGATAACATATTGCAAGGCTTAATACAGTACTTGCCGCCACCCGATCAATTAACAAAATTACAAAATTTCAAAGACCAATACGACGAATTAACCGAGGCTGAACAATTTTGCGTTACGGTAAGACTTGCATATTTTTATTGAATAGCAGTAATAATAACATTTTCATAATTTCATCATCTAATCATTATCATTGTATGTTTTATAGATATCGCAAATTAAAAGATTATTACCAAGATTAAGATCTCTAAGTTTTATGTTAAAATATGAAGAACTTGTCCAAGATGTTAAACCTGACATTGTAGCTGGAACAGCTGCTTGCGAGGAGGTTAAAAGCAGTAAAAAGTTTGCAAAAATATTAGAACTTGTTTTGCTTCTTGGAAATTACATGAATTCGGGATCGAAGAATGGTCAGGCTTTTGGATTTGAAATTAGCTTTCTAACCAAAGTAATTATAGCTAATTATCTTGTAAAATTAAAATAAAAAATCATTAAAAACTAATTAATTTTATTAAGAATTTTGAGGATTGTACGTATAAGTGTTAATTAATAGGGTTGAATTAATATATAATTGTCTTATCTATGTGTACATGATTTTAGAAATAAATTTGGCTAATATTTCGTATCGAAATGCACGATAACATTACATAAATTTACTTTATGAAAATAAATAACAACAAAAAAAACATCACGTATATAGTTTTGGCATTATTTGAAATTTTATAAGCTGCAAAATATCTCATAACTCGTACAATTTATAATTTTTCACGTTCCTAGCAAATTTTAAATTATTATATGATCTATAAATGCTTAACTTATATTATTAAATAATTACAAAATATTTCGTTATAGCTAACTAGTACAAAGGACATCGAGAACAAACAAACTTTACTTCATTATTTAGTCGATACGATAGAAAGAAAATTTCCAGATTGCTTAAATTTCTTCGAAGAATTAGCACATGTCGATAGAGCTAGTAGAGTTTCGTTAGAAAATATTCAGCGAACTTTACGACAAATGGATGCAAATATTCGTAATCTAGAACAAGATCTTGCGAATGCTAAAATTCCACAGAACGATAAGGATTTATTTGCTAAAATCATGACGGTATAATTTTCTTTTAATCTTATTAATATACAGTATTTAATGTTTAACATTGTATTATAAATTTCATGAATGTATTATTAATAATTGTGAATACATGTTTTAGCCATTTGCGAAGAAAGCTAGAGAATCGTACGAGGTGATGCAAAATATGTTTAAAAATATGGATAATTTATACACTGATATATCTGAATTTTTTGCATTTGATAAACAAAAATACACGATTGAAGAATTCTTTGGTGATATAAAAAAGTTTAAGGACGACTTTGTGGTAAGATTTATGATTATTTATTCAGCCATTGAATATTTAAAAATCAAAAGTACTGTTAATTAGAGTCTTTTCAAATTATTTTATATTTTTTCTTTTTATATTTTTTAATTTGTTAGAAAAATAAGTCGCTCGTTTTACGTACTTAAGTTTCTCATGGAAATTCCAAAATTTTATAGTTTGAGCCTATTATTGTATTTAACAATTAATCATTTCATTAGTCATTAAGATTGTAACTGTAAAAGTGTATTGTTCACAACAGCAGGTGCAGGTAAAAATTCGATATTGCAAACAATTGCCACAAATTGCACAAAATTTCTCTACGGCAATTACAAAGTACATAAATGCTATCGATAATAAATAACATTTATTTTACTCGCACATTATTTGATTACATCTTTTTCTCAAAACTCAATGCTATTTCATTTAATATTTAAAAATTTCACATGTTCATTATTCCATGCTAGGAGCCTTTTAGTTTTTAACTTAAAAATATAATAAATATCTGCCATCGTCTCATATACTACCAAGTAGAGACTAGTACGTATATGGTTAATTTTGTATTTTTCATATCAATCATACTTCGATAATGTAACGATATAGACGTTTACTTGCTCACTGCTGATTTTCAAATCGAAAGTTCAAATGATTGCACTTGCATTTAGTAATCCAACAACAATCATTAAAGTAATGAAGCAATAATCGTTGCGTGGCGGTGGGGGATGGGAGGTAGATAGATAAATGCTCACGTATAAGATTATAAGATATTATAAGATAATTTCCATTGCAGCAAGCACAAAAGGAAATAATAAAATTGCGCGAGTCGGAGGAGAAGCAGCGACGGGCGAGAGAGGCTCGTGAAAAAGCAGAGGCCGAGAGGGCGGCGCGAGCGGAGCGCAAGCGCGCCCTCGTCGACATGAACGCACACGAGACCCAGGAGGGCGTGATGGACAGCCTCATGGAGGCCCTACAGACGGGATCAGCCTTCAGCCGACCGGACCAGCGACGCAAGCGTCAGACTCGTGCTGCCGGCGGTAAGTCGAAGCTTACGCTCAGGAGCAAGGGTTACGCTACCTTGACCTCAAGACTCAAGCTCGCCAAAAAAAGTTGGAAATCGAAGCGCAGCCTCAAGCAAGCAAACGTCGGAGGATTTGATAGGCAGGACGAAAGCACGTACACGACGAGCGAGAGTTTTGTTGAATTTAGGCCCAAGTCAGAATGGATGGTTGAAATGACGAAGGAGTTGACCGATCATAATTATAATGAGCGAATTGTTATCGAAGGGAGTGATTTTATAGAGATGGTGACTGGGTGGGGGGATGATGAGAAATTCTTGGCTAATAATAAGAAAAAGGCTTTTAGGAAGATTAGAAGATTATCGAGGAATTTGTATAAAAATGTTTATGCGCCCCGGCAAAGAATAACCGTTAGTAAGAAGCCCAAGCGAAACGCGTTTATAAGGCAAATTGTATCTAGACGACGTAAAAGAATGACGAGCAGGGCAAAGTCTTATAGGTTTGAGAGATTTGTCGATGGTTATTCAAGCGCAAACGTGACACCTTCCACTTTACGTAAATCGAATGATTCGTTAAATTTACATGACTTAATAACGAGCAATTATTCAAATTCTTGTAATAACTTATCGAGTAGTGGCACGAATGACAGAGACGTTGCTTTAATGCAGCATTGCCAATGTGCGAATGAGCGGCGAGAATGTAACGAGGCGGATGAGAACGAAAATGTTTTAAGCCTCTCCCTAGAATCTAATTATGATAAACTCGAGGGAATATCGATTGACGATTCTATTATGGCATCGAGCGGTAATAAATTTTTAGACGGTAAATCGAGAAAATTGAGACGATTCTTTAATTTTAGGGAGCAAAAATTATTTAATGAGATGTCACGGTCAAACTTCTCAAGAGATGGTAAAGTGGGATCGATTATAAGCTTCACGAACACGTTCTCGCCTCAGACAGAAAGTTATAGGAAGCCTATTAATTGGAAGATATGGAAAGGCACGAAGAATACGGGTAAAATAACGATATCTGTAGACGATCGTTCTAAAAAAAAGTAAACAAATTTAAAATGTCATTAATTGTTTTGTAAACACGTGAATAACACTTTTGCTATGGTTACAGAACATCTGTTTTTAATTTGTACATTATTTGTAAATATATCATTTTTGTATATAAAATTAGTTTACCATTTTTGTATATGTATATGTATGTATAAACAATTTTTAATACTAAAATTTGTAAAATAATATTGATAAAAACGAGCAGATAATTGTTGAGATAAAGCGCGTGAGAAAATCATGGACATGAATTTCTATTGCATGCGGTGTGGACCAAGCAAAACTCATTGACCAATAGAATGTCGATTTTCCAATCGCGAAGAGTTTATCTACTTTTCGACTTTACATTCTTTTCAATTTACTTACTGTATATTTAATTCCCTATGTTTGCTTGCTTATTTACAAAATGAATATGTACAAACAACATACTAAAGGTCATACGTCCTATGTCTTACTTTAACACGCTGTGATTTATGAAGTTGATTATTCAGAATTGTCGTTCAGAATCGTATTAGGCAACTATAAAATCCTAATATATAGTCACATTATATTTAACATTTAAATGGATGTATTTTATTTGTTTGCAGCTGAAAGAAGAGCACAATTAAATAGAAGTAGATCTCGCACAGGATTGGTTGGAACTGGACTACTAGGCAGAGAATTATCTACGTAAGTTTAATTATTTTTCCACAAATACTTCAATCGCGTGGTTAATTTTGGAATTAATGCAAATGAAGATTGCTTTTGTGTCGCTCGTTAAGTTTAAAATTTACTCTTGCCCGACCAACAACAATTGCCTCAATTCATCAATTTTCAAGCGCATTATTATTACATCCATAAATGTATTTGGCTTTTGCATGCAAAATTATAGTAAGCAAATGTGGTTTGGTTTTCCATTATACATCAGTTACCATTATATTTGTTTTAGAGAACTCCTTAGTTCGGCGTAGAAAGAGTTCACTATTAATAGTGAGGCTGTGATGAAGTGTTTTTTACAAAAACAAAATCTTCAGTTTTTTCAATAACTGAAATGTTAATTGTGCATGGAAATGAATACCCTGCAAATAGGATAGAAGAAATTACGCCGTCCATAATGAAATATACTATAATAGTATAATGGCAGAGAAAAGTATTGTATGTATACAACAAAGATATTGTTGTAAAAGAATTTCACTTAACTGTAACAGATGTTGATGACACCGGCCGTTCTTAGAATGAAATTGGCATGTAATTAAGAGAGATTAAAGTAATAATGGTTTGATCTTAAATCGATGATTATTATGCGAGACTAAAGGCATTACAGCTGATGATCGAGCTACAATTTCGACAACGGATAATCATAATTGTGCCAAAAATATCAAAGTGGGCAAAAAATTACTGCAGAAGAGAATGAATTCCATTTTTATCTATTTTTCAGAATGAAATTATATATTATTGATATGCTGAGCTTGGGCATTAGCTTTACGTTAAATTATGTTTTTTAGTACAATTAATAGAACAATGTCGAGCAAATGTCTATATCAAATTGGGAAAGATAATTATGTAGTTAATGTACGATTGTGCCTCAAATCTGTTTTTGTTGATCTTGAAATATTAAGAGTATTTTTTTAAATTTTTTGAAGATAATTTTGTTTACTATAGATTCCGAAGAAAATAATTATGTACGTTACTTTTTATAAATAATATTGACAAATTGCGATATATATTTTTTAATATGTACAAAAGAGTAATTTATTAATATCATGAAAGAAATTTGCCTATAAATACTTTATAAGTAAATACTTGGCTTGTTTTTGACTGCATTAATTAGCAGGCAATAATTGTATCTATAGTGTGAATACAGAGTTTTAGATTATTTACACCTTGTTATTATTATTCCCCAATAAAATAATTTGTAAAAACATTTATTTATTTGGAATAACACTTTAAGCGATATCATCTATATGCATATATATATATATATATATATATAAATGCATATATAAAGCAAATGAATGATATGTAGTACATATTGAATTTAAAATATTAGAATATAATATTAGTTTCTGTCAATTTAAACGGAAACACATTTTAGGAAAACAAATTTATGTAAAAATTATTCTAATAAATCCATTTTTGATCTAAAAATTCGTATATTTGATTTTAAGAAATTATTTATAAATGTAACAATAAATTTTTCTCGATGCTGTAAATGATTAAATTATTAATGTTTAATGACAGTGAAAACCGCTTATTAATTATATACGTCATGGACCAAATTTTATGTAAAATAATTTTATAACTTACAATCATAAATTATAAACACACGCTCGATTTCAAATAAATCAGATATTTATTTCCAATCCTCGTTCTTGCCTACATCATTGTGCGCATTAATAAATACATTCGTAAAACGGAATAATATTTAAAGTTTTTTAATTTTTAATTTTATTCAACTTGCGCCGTTGGTCGACCATAATATTACTAACATAACCTATTAAGTTTCATATTAGATTAGTTTTTACTGTATGTTTGCAGTTTATAACCTATATGTTATATGTGAATAAATATCATTATAATTCGTGAAAATTTGTTTATTATAAAATAATAACCTTATATTGACATAGTGAATAGAAGAGGTAATGTACATAGGAAGTGTTAATTGAATTTTAAGGAAAGGATGTCTTTATACGACGATTTTGATAAGCATCGTACAACTGATAAAGTAGCAGGATGGTCGTCTGGAATAAAATTACTCCAGTCTCAACTTCAACTTAAAAAAGCTGCAATACCACACGGTAAAAGAGAACAAGGAAAAAAATCTGCAGCTGTATTGGCACCGGTTATCGATTTAAAGTCCAAAGTTCGCGATAACGAGAAAGAGGACGATGGGGTTATAAAATATTTTTCAACAAACGCAGCTAATCCAATTGGAGTTGGGATAGAATATGATTGGAATGTGGTTAATGAATATGATCCGTCTTGGCCTAACGAGTATGATAAAGTAGTCAAAGAATTAAGAGACATTCGCGATCGTGAACATGACCAAGAAAATGAGCAACGTAAGCGGAGACGAGAAACCACTCATTTTGAAGAAAATCAGATGTCAAATATAGCCGCTAGTATAAATTCTATCGAAAGGGATGAAGAGCGCAGTACCTTTAGAAATAATCCTGGTGGTGCTACTATCGCTCCTCCACCATCCTTACAAGATGTACCTGAAATTGTACCTCCGATCTCACGACCAAACCTTAATCAAGGGTACGCGACGTCATCGGTTGCAGCAAAAATAATGGCCAAGTATGGATTTAAAGAAGGACAAGGGCTTGGTAAGAAGGAGCAAGGAATGTCAGTAGCGCTTCAAGTAGAAAAGACTAGTAAGAGAGGTGGTAGAATAGTGAGTGAAAAGGAACAACTAATGCCACCACCTTTGCCATTGAATTTATCGCCCCCATCGGTCACACAGATGCAGTCTCCTGTGCATAATCAAGAAGAGCCGAGTATTACTGAAATAATGAAGTCGCCGAGCAAAGTTGTCTTGCTGAGAAATATGGTCGGACCTGGCGAAGTCGATGATGATTTAGAACCCGAAGTCAAAGATGAATGCAATACAAAATATGGTGATGTAACTCGTGTGGTGATTCACGAAGTCATAGATGCTCATCCAGAGGAAGCAGTTAGAATTTTTGTTGAATTTAAAAGAATTGAAAGTGCTATCAAAGCAGTTGTAGATTTAAATGGACGATTTTTTGGTGGTAGACAAGTTAAAGCTGGTTTCTATTCGATAGAAAAATTAAACAATTTTCAATTACTAGATTAATGTTTAATAAAATTTGAATATATTATATCCATTAAGAACAGTTATACATTACACGTTACAAGTCAATCTTGAAATAGTGATGAATTTCAATAAACTTTTATAGATGCAACTTAAATTTATGTATTAATTAACTTGAAAGTTACAAAGATATCATACTATCTTCTTTATAATATTTTATTACGATTATTTGATGTCAATTTTTGTAAAATATCAATATTACAATAAACAAACTATTAATGTAATTGTGCGATTCATTTTTTTTTTTTTTTTTTTTTTTTTTTTAAATTATATCTTGTGTAACATGTTTACAAATAAATATTAACATTTATTATTAATCTGTATTATCCTAGTATTCTGATACTTATATACATACGCGCAGACATGTATATGCATTTACATGGACAGATATTCAAATATGCATAATAAATATAATTGATTTTATTATGTTTCAGAATTTACTTTTAACTTTCTTTTAATGAAACTATGTTAAATAAACAAGTGAATGAATCCATTTAGTTCATTTCTATTTCATTTACATTTCCTGTACATTTCACAATGATTTCTTATATAAATTAAACTAATGACAACAGTAGTTAAAGATTCAATATTTTTGAGTCAAGATTATCAATGTAAAGATTTACTATTAAAACTTTAGATGTTGCTGAAAAACTTAAAAAATACAATGTTAAAAAATTTTTTTCTGTAACGTTTTTCATATTACACCAAAACATTTAACTAATCAGGCTTGTTCCTTAAAAATTTGCACCTATCCATGTGATTGTTTATTATTTGTTTAAAATCACTCATTGTTATTGAAGTAGTGTTGATTGTTCATATTTTTATAAATTAATTTCAGACTTTTTACTTTTAAACCATACTTCTGCGCAATAGCTTGAGTTCAAAAGTAATAATTACGAATAATAATCAAGACGATGGTCTTGACACATAGATGGAATTTTTCAAAAATATTTATCACCGTCCAGTACCACGATTGTCGAACAAAACATCCAAAAGAAATGAAAATCACCTTTCGAATAATCTCAACATAGAGAAATTAATTTTATCATCAAAGCAATCGTAACAATTGTAAGCACTTCTATAATTGCAGAAGTCAGACATTAGAGGACGAAATTTCTAAAGTGCATTCTTTGATGCGCGGGGGGGGGGGAGAGAAATTAATGCTAACTTCAGTTTTGGAATACAAAATTGTATTTTAAAAAATTACTTTCTTAATCATTTAAAGTGAAATAACAACTTTGCATGTAATTATACGAGAATAAGCATTGCTACTGGAATAAATGTTTTTATATTTTTGCAAAAAAAAATTCAGAATCGCGTATAAATTAGAGCGAATAAGAGATGATAGGAGGGAGATAAAAAATTCATTGAAAGTAAAATAATGTTTATCATGATAAAAGAATCTTTGCACATACGACAGGCACTTGCGCTTTGCAGCTCTCTCTCTCTCTCTCTCTCTCTCTCTCTCTCTCTCTCTCTCTCGCGCATTCGATTTTCACAACATGCGCATTGCGCTTACAGTCGGTGTACATTTATTGCGATTAATATTGTAATAACTGACAAGAATATTCACGAACTATCTAAGTAATCCGGTATTTAAAAAGAATCTATTGTTTATTTGAAGTGGCGAAGAAAGGGTTTTTTTTTTCATAATAACTGTAGTACAAGTAAGACTTTGACAATTTATTACAAATTACAATAGAATATCATGATTCGATGCTTGGCTTTTTCCTTTTTAATAGTCAGTCATCTACTTTTAGGAGAAAAAAAAGTGAATGAGCATCCTTAGCAGCATAGCTAATATTTTACAAGAAAACTCTTATCCTACGTTACTTTATCGCACTGCATTCATTTATATTTAATAATATTTTTAATACTTTGTTTTTTTTTTTTTTTTTTTTTTTTTTTTTTTTTTTTTTTTTTTTAATCGCTCTTACGAACAATTAAATTATGTACTTTTTATTACAATATTCTATATGAATCAATAAATGATCTTTTATTCAAATGTTTCTGATATTTACTTCTTACTAATTCTATGACCCTTTTACGTTAAGATCGATTGAAATTTCCGACAATTTCCTTGCTGACTTTTTAGTAGTAGAATTTTGGCACTCATCTCTAATGCACAGAACGTCCTTTATTAATCTTAGTATGCAGTTTTTGACTCTCAGTTTGTAACTCTGGTATTGAAAAACTTTGTTGTTTGCTATATTTACTATTGTAACAAGCGTGTAAAAGTACAGCCTGTCGTTCTAAAGAAAATGGAATGTTTGATTTCGTTCAAACAATTCATAGATGTTAATAAATTATTTAGCGACAAAATAGAGGTATTTTTCTATACGAAGCATAGCAAATAGTTGATAGTACTTTTTATTTAATTTCTTCAATCTTTCGTCAATGAAGTTTAAACAAGGTAAGAAAGACTTTTTATCTCATTAATTTCAAGCTAATTATTTTAATGTCGAGATAAATATAAATTTTCATCTTATTTTTAAAAGCAATGTTTTTTTCTTTTTTTTTTTCAGATTGTTGATATACGGATGAAGATCGATAAAGATAATAGCGAACCATTAATACTATCAGTGTCCAATAAAAAGAAAGTAAAAAGAAAATCTATTTTTTATAGTTATAGTTTCTTCGTATTTATGAATTTATGTATGATATTGGCCTTTTTTACTTCAAACTATGGCGGATCGAAGGGTTCGTCTTTAAAATTTAATTAAACCTTAACTTTTTTAACTTTAACATCTTTATTTGTTATAGCAATAAAGGTTAAATTGAATTTTACAGTTTTAATGCGTTTGATTTGATATTTAACTTTTTTTTCTTTTTTTTTTTGAACAATTTAATAGGTCTATTTATTATAAGCCAAGTATTGATCTATCATTGATCAACTTTTACATTAATTCGTTTGAACAGATTAATGAACGTATTAATGTTAGCACGATATGCATTAAACATATGAATTGCAAAATTATATGATCAAACTATTTCATACTTATAATGTTTAAGATTAAAAAAAAAAAACAAAAACAAAATAGCAGTCGATATTATGAACATTTGGATATGTATTTGATATTTTAACTGTACCATCGATTAGATTATTCAATGTTTTGGATAAATAAGTAATAAAATAATACTACAGAATATGAATAGAAAAGTATTTATTTTATAAGAAAACGGTTGTAATTTTAAGTGCAATTTTGAGTTAAAACGCGTAATTGAAACATTTTTCATTCGTTAAACGCATGTTTTTCTGCATCGTAGCAGAAAGGAAGCATAGTAATGGTAAAAGCTGTGCTTCAATTTATTTTTCTTTCGCTTAAATTCATATGGACTTGACGTTATATTGTGCAAACGTTTAATATAAAAATAAACAGGAATTGTTTAGTAATGTAAGTAGTAAAAGAAAGAATTACAATTTACAAACAAAAAAAAACAACAACTCACTATCATAATAATAATAATAATAATAATAATAATAATAATAATAATAATAATGTAACTAAATTATCTATAAAATAAGTTATATATAATCACATTATACAGGAATCATCAACGAACACTTTGTGATTTGGTACTTCGCGGTACCTCTGATTTACCTAGAAGCTGGAATATGCTGCAATCTCAAAGATCTTTTCGCTGTGATTTGCGATGGCTATTTGCTTTTGTTCCTCGTGCTATTCATCTATATGCTGGTACCAGCTCTGGCGGCGGTGGGATGTTACTTCTTGAGTAACGTCGGCGTCAATGTTCGTTTGCTCAAAGGAATTGAAGTAATTAATGAAGCACGCGAATATATAATATCATTTGCCGCCTGCAGTAAGAGTATAAAAAATTTGAAAAATTCTATTAGTTGCGTGAGCATTGATAATATCCATTTAAACGTATAATAACTTCACTTTTCAATAATTGAAATTCTTTATTTTTAGCAAATTTTACAATAAAATAGGAAAATACATATTTGGAAATATTCTAGTTAATAGAACTAGCACTACTTATAATTAATGGTCTATATTTACATAAATATTAAATATTTTGTAAATTTAGGTCTTACACTGTCTACCTCCACCATTTACTACAAGTTTAGCTTTAAGCCGAGTAGCACACGCAGACATTCCCACGAGTGTCGTAACAACTTTAACGTGCCATTTCGGGGGTCTGATACTGTCGCCCATTTTACTGTACATAATGGTAAAGGAAAAATAAAAAGCTATAAATGCTTCTACGCACTTTGCACTAATACTTAAAAGTTAACTTCAATCAGCGTACACACATATCATATATATATATATATATATATATATATATATATCAATTACACTAGAATTCAAATTGAAACCAAAGCTTTTAATCTTATTTTTAATATATTTGCCTTAGTCGCTTGTGTAAATTGTTATTTCGTTTCTTTCGTTGTGTTTCTATGACATTTCAAACCAATTTGTTTCATTTATTGTAGAATCGATAACTTATCTTCGTTTAATAATATTTCGTATATTAAAGATTGTTTGAATCGAAAGAAATTCGCACACTATGACGAATTATGAAAAAAAAAACTTTGAAATCGTTATCACAGATTCATGATTGGTTTGGTTTACAAAGAAACTTAATGGAATATTATTATAAAATAAAAAACATATTAAAAATGTTGTTTATCGTGAAGTAATTGAATAGTTATTACAATAATAAAGTACAATTCAAACGTTTTCTTTCTAAAACTATGATATAGTATAAGTATATATACACGTGTATAATAATAATCTATGATTAAATAATATAAATAAATATAATAACACGCAGTATTTATAAATTTGATGTATTACAATGCATATTTCAAATCATTAAACAATTACCATTCCATAAAGAAATTGTATTTACATAAAAATTATTGTCCGCCGGAAAAATGACAGGTAAACAATATTTTTATGAAATAAAATTTTCTGTTCGTTTGCTGTAAGAGCACTAAAATATCACTTAAATAAAGTAAAAGCATCTTTCCTAAAAGAAAATCTTACTTGAAATATATACATGAGCTTTGTCATAATGAAAATTTAAGTAACACTTATCGAACAATAGTCCTCTACACTGATTTTATAATAATCTAATGGATAATAATCACACGAGCGAACGTAATGGCATTGACTTATTTTAAAAGAAAAAAAAAGAAAAAAAAACAAAGGAACTTGAAAGAAAAGTAGAGACAACTAGTGAGTAATATTTAACACAATGTTTATTCAAAATAAATTCTTATCTCCATATATCACGCATGTATAGTTGGGTGCAACGGTGCCACCGCTGACAGAAATAAATTTACGCGAGATCACGTACAGCACGCTGATACCACTGGCGATCGGCGTCTCCCTCCGATCAATATGCTTTAAGGATCAAACGACAACTTTCGAGAATCGCAGCAGTTGGATATCCCGACTACTGCTGCTGCTCATTGCCTATAATCTTTTCTGCGATGCCTTCACCATCGACGCTGCGACTTTATACGCGATTGACATCCTTCTATGCGTTCTTATTGGTGATTATACACACACACACACACACACACACACACACACACACACACACACACACACACAATCATACAAAACCCCATCGATTCTTCTCTCCGCACTCCCGCAAATTCACGTACATTTTATTTTTATTACTTGTTATTCGGAAAAGATTATTTTCTTTTCTTTTTTTATTAATTTTATTTGCATATTTAGTAGAGTTAAAAGACAAAAAAAACATTGACGTACTGATAATTTAAGTGGTTGTTTGAATGGCAATTTTAAACGTTCGACGATTCAATAGTTCAACAAATTAATTATTAATGTATTTGGAAACACCCTCTAGCTGGCTTAATTATTAGCTACGGCGAGTGAAAGTACAAACCGCGTTTCTATTTTTTTTCTAAATTTCTTCTAAAAATCTGCGAATATAAAATATTACGAAATAACTTATCCCCTTACTTTTTCTCTTTCTTTTTTCTTTTTTATTATAAATATGAAAAATGAAAAATAAAAATAATCATTATTTGGCAATTGTTTAATAATAAACAATTCAATCAATCAATTTGTCTATAGCTTTCTCGAAAACTTTTTTTAAATGAATATTATATTCTCAAATTATTGCTTCGATCAGAACATCTAATGTCGATTAAGATTTTAAAATCTATACATTTACATCCAATAAAATAGTTTATTTAATAAAAAGACACTGGTATTTTCATAGACTACAAAGAGCGATCTTTTTTATTTTATTTTTTTTTCTCTCTTCTTTTTATAAAAACTATTAACAATAGTAAACTATAAATTCTATTGTATAAATAAATTTGTATTTATTTGTTTAAACGAGGTCGCTTTCTGTAAATAGAAAGTATTTTTATTCTATTTTTTTTTCCTTTCAATTCAAGAACCATTTAAGAGAAATGATAAGAAAAGCTTTTACGTTTCATCTATCTATCAAGTATTGTGAATTAATATCGAAACCTTTAGTTTTTCAATAAAACTTCTTTCTATTTTTTTTCTTTATGTGCTTATATTCGATCAAATGAGCTTTGTATAAAAGAATCACACTCTATAATTTTTATCTTTGTTTTGTAAATAGCTTGTCTCAGCCAAATAGTCATTACGTGTATCTGCTGGATACTGTGCAGCACATGGCTGAACAAACACGTGCTCCTAGCATCCGTCTTCACGTGTACCTTCAAGTCAATCGGCTTTGGAGAATGGCTGATGAAAGCAGCTTTTCGTAATTCCACAGAGGCGACAACGGTGAACTTACCACTTCGGATATTGACGGTAGCGCAACTGTTACTTGGCAGTTTGCTGGCGAGCTGGCTCGCTTCTTAATTTTCTTCCAAGATTACGATATTTATAAAAGAATTATTTTCTTACCAATGTTGGCATACAGTAAGACTAGCGACAGATAAAAGTGAACTTAAAAAGAATTTTGTTATAAAATAAAAACTAATTCTGTAGGCTCAGGGATTATATGTCAGAATAAACGAGTACAAAAAACAGTCTAGATTCCCATACAAAACATAGCGATTTTATTCTACAAATAATGGGATAAAATTCAATTACTCGTCTGTTCTCTCTTTTTCTTTTTTTCATTTCAATTTTTGCCTTTTCTGAAAACTCTCATAGTAAGTGTCTTTCGTGACAAGCGCATTATACGACAAGTTTTCATTATCATATACCATATAATGTGCCATGGCATACATAATCATAACAAACATGTGTTTTAACATTCAATTTACACCCGTAAGGTGCTCACACACGAACAATCTATGGTTTTCACCTCATTTTTTCTCTCATACATGGCTAATCGAGTCCACTAAAAACATCGTTTAGCAATGCGATAGTAAATTAGTTAGTACCGTATGCACGCAAATTTGATCGAAAGATACTCTTATATTATATGCAATAAAAAAAGATTCGTCAAAAAGGTCACAGAGTTTGCTATCGTCGCCAACTGCGGGGTTCGCCATCTTCATCCTCCTCTTCTTCGCCTTCATCTAATATTAAGGTCTCCACGTCTGCAACATTCTGAAGAAGAAAAAAAAACATTGAAAAAAAAAAAAAAAACATTAGTGCTATCGTTATTTTTGTGATATTTTTCAAAACAATGACAAAATAATGGTAATTCCAAATACTATATAAGATACCTAGATAATTTTACCGAACAATTAATGTATTCTTTAATTTAATTTTATATTTACTTATTTATTTAAAATGCAATTTTTATAGGTGTAACATACATACAGTACTTATCACTATAATTAAAAATATTTACAACACCAAAAAATACTTACGCATCAATATACTTTATTATAAATATTTATGAATATTTTAGTATTTAAATAATCACACTTTTACATACATAACATTGTATTCTATTATAATAAACATATTTAAATATAATAATAATATTTAGCCAACTTCAAAAATAAAGACTCAAAGCGATAGGAGCTTGAAATTTAAATTAAAAAAAAAAAAAGGATAAAGAATAAAAAAAGCCTAAATTCAAATGTATTTATTATATAAATAAAACCTTTTTTTAGGTATCAGTATTTTAGTATATTATAAAATTTATTATCAATGATAATATCCATTTCTGAATTTCATGCAAAGTTTGAAATCTTTTCTTAACCATTAACAGACTCTTCGTAAGAATAATTAAATTGTTTAAATAAATATATAATTGAACATTTTTATGGTACTAATAATTATTTATGTACACACAAATATATATATATATATATATATATATATATATATGAATATATATACAGTACCTATTTTATTCCCTTATAAATATAATTAAGTGTCAGCAACTTCAGAACTGTAAGCTTTTTATGATTTAAAAATAAGCTAATATTCATTTAATTTATATTTCTTTAACTAGTCAAATTTATAATCTTTTATTATTTTTACTGGCACAGTATTAGCTTATGGGGAAAAATTTACCATTTAAAAGATAAAAAGTGTAAATTACCTCTAGATCTATTTCTTCGTCAGTCATCGATTGTAACTGTTCAGATCGTTGAGTGGATGCTGAGCTCGTTAAGTTTGTACCAGTGCTGGAATTACTTCCTCCAACGCGATGTAATAAATGATGACCAGACACCCACGTTATGGACAATACACGATCTTGAAAGTTGCGGCCTTTCGACATGGCGAGCTCAGCTTCTTTTCTTGATTTGTAATTTATAACAATAGAAGGCGTGGCATCATCCACGATTTGATTCACGATCTCGCCGAATTGCTTTAAATATTAAATATATTATTGACTTTGAATTTAACTGATTATGCATTGAACAGGATACCACTGGATAATTTAGCAATAAATTACAAAATTATCTTATTCGATTGCATTTGTCTTATTCGCCTCTATAATTTTATAAATAAAGATAAAAAATCTTGGTCGACCGTCGAAGGCAAAGTTTTTATCATTTATATTATATTTCTTGCGCATAAGCGACGAGGAAGTTCACGAAAGTCAATACCGATGGTTTATCCGAAGGATTCTATTCCTTGGGTCTAGAAAATTGTGGGAGGCACTTTCCGACGCTTAAATCATTGAAAAATGTAATACAAAAGCGTCAATTTAACACTATAATAAAAAAAAATATATTATAATACTGCAATGTAAAGAATTCAACAATAGCTGTACGAATAGCTGTACATACATAACTGTGGAAAAAAAAAATATAAAAAATTTGTTAACTTTTATTTCTTAAATATTTGTTTCAAACTTACCGATTTTACATGGCATCATGCGTTCAAATTATTTATTACGGTGTTATTTTATGATAGAAATAACAATTGATTTGAAATTTCATGATTGTATAAAAATCAAATTAAATAATTTATTACCCTATAAATATTACACTGAATATCCCATAACCTAGATAATCAACGTATTAAACATAAATAAAACGACTTTATAAATGTACATGCAATTTCATCGTACGTGCTAATGTACAAACACATACAATAAACAAACAAACAAACAAATAAATAAACGAATATATATATATATATATATATATATATATATATATATATATATATATATATGAATAAATAATTAAATAAATATATATGATTAAGCAAATAAATAAGCAAATATATATACCTGAAAATGCGCCAACACTTCTGTTTTCTCTTCGGTTTCGTAACCAGAAACTAGAAGATTGGTTGGTCTGTGATCAACAGAGACATGAGTAAAGCTTCCCCCTCGACCTCTGCCTCTGAAAGTGTGGGTGGTTGTACGCGGAGGCCTGGTTGGTCTTGACCCTCGGCCTGTACTTGTGGTGTTTAATTCCATTGCCGCAGCATGCGCCCTCAGCTCGAGTAATCTAGGGTTGTTTAATAACAGCAATTGATCAGACCACTCTTTCTGCATTTAGTGCAAAGCCTTAATTAATTCGTAATTTTTTTTTATTATTATTAATCAATATAAGCGCATAATGCGATTTCGTTAGCTTCAAAGATTAAATAAAGATAAATAATAATGTCAAGCGATTATTTATCGTTTGATCTACATTTTGATCGATAGAATATTTTTGTGATATTTTTATTCGAGCATTGCCGATCCAGTATGTATCCACGCAGTAAAAACGACGTTAAAAGCACGTATTAAGGGATACAGAATATCAGATCCCAGTCTCTCGCAGCTGTTACATGAGCGCAACTCGGAAAAACAAAAAGCCACAATACCAAGGGGGCCCGGATAAATGTAATTAAGATTTGTGAAAGCAAGCGGTTTTCTCCAGTTTAGGTCCGCCTTATGGGAACGGTCGTTAAGTGTAAGCTAAATCTTTAGGCAGAAACCATAAATAGTCTAAGACTATGGATTATTTTTCATTTATAACATTTTCGTTTTTGTTATTTGTAAGCATTAGCTACGCGGTAAGGAGAGCCTTCAGTAGTAGTTGATTATAAAAAAAAAAAAAAAAAAAAAAAAAAAAAAAAAAAAAAAAAAAAAAAGTCGAAGCAGGTCTGCGAATATTGACTAAACCAATGAGTTTGGCAAATGGGCGCTTATTAAATATTTAGATACGAGTCAATATTCTCACAATTTCTTATTATTTTTTATGGGTCAGAAAGGTGCGAGGGAAAGAAAGAAAGAGAGAGAGAGAGAGAGAGAGAGAGAGAGAGAAGAAACAAACCATATTTCATTTGTGATAATAACCGTGAGCCATCAGACAATTTACAGGGAAACGTAGGGATAAAAAGTGCGCCATAGACGACCTTTCTCTTTCTTTCTTTCTCTCTCTCTCTCTCTCTATCTTTCCCGCCGTATTTACGACTAAATAAATACAGTATTTACTATCAACAACAAATATCAATTCATTTCACGATTATCGCTTATAGTTTTAACGTGATTTTATTGCTTTCAGTTTAAACACGAATAATACAAAAAATCATGAATTTTACGTATATAAAGTTCAATTTTGTGAATGAAATGTGTCCATTTTTTGACGATACATGCATTGTCGGTTGTTCCTCCCCACCCCCTATTTTCATATAATAATTATATTTTCTGCTTGGTACAAATTGCGTTAGAAAAAACTAATTCTATGAAGTGTATTCAGTGTTAAGTTTTATCTTATAAAATCGCTTCATCATTATCAAGTATTACGCTATTCAATATTTTAATAATAATTATCGAATAAAACTTTACTTCATTTGTTTATATCAATTTTTCTAATCGATTGATTATAATCCAAATCAGATAAAACATTTAAAAACTACAGATAATAAAAATATGTTTTATTAATGTTTATTAATTGAACCGTCAAATTTATGTATATAAAGTAACACAGTATGTTTATTAAATTATATTATACAAAAAATGCGGATTTACCACTTTTGATAGCAATACAGTTTAATTTTGTAGGTATCAACAACAAAAAAAAAAAAAAAAAAAAAAAAAAAAAAAAAAAAAAACATGAAAATGATTAATTATAAAAGTCCAGTGCAATCGAAGTTATCCAAATATTGTTAATTTTGAAATGTTAATGCAAACTAAAATTATATAATGTTAATGGTTAGCGTTCTTATCAATGATAAGCCAAAAAATTGTTAAGTTCATCATAAATATTGTGTGTAAAATAATTGTGAATCCCAAACAATGACTTTCAATAATTCTCTTATTAAATATAATCAATTCTCTGAAAAATCTATTTACTTTAATAATATGAAAGTAGCGCATGAAATTTAATTGAGCGTCAAGTTAACGATATTGAAAAGAATTAATAAATACTTTATTATTTTGCTTTATCATTAATAATTTGCTTTATCATTAGGATAATTTCATCAAATGTAACAAGCGAGCAACAAACACTCCTTAATGTTAATCTTACTTTTTTTGTAATTCGGCAGAGTCTTGGCCCTCTTGTTGAGCGGTCATGAGATCAAGCTCGGCGTCAAGAATTTCTCTCTGCGCCTGCTCCCGCGTCTTTGGCAGTGGCTTATTCGTCGCATTAGTACTCTGTCCATTATTGCTTTGAGCAAGATCTTTCCTTAGACTGTCTATCGACTGCTGCATCACTTTAATCGTCACCATAATCGCATCCTTCTGGTCAGGATTCTTCTCGGCCCGTTCAATCAATGACCTCAGCTCGGTCAATTGCTTATCGAGAAGTTCCTGCTTCCGCTTGCGCAAATCTGCCGTCAGTTTCAATGCCTCTTTTCTCTTCTCCTCTTGCTTCTTCTTTAACGTTTCTTTGGCTGCTAATATTTCTTGAGTCTTCTTAATAGCCAGGACTTTGTCTTCGCGCGTCGTCGCGGGCGCTACTGCCTTAGCAGCTGCGGTGACCAATGATTGGCTGGCCTGTGGCTGAGGTGTCTGAGGTTGCTGAGGTTGTTGCGATTGCTGCTGCGGCGATGGCTGTTGTTGCTGCTGCGGCTGTTGCTGAGACTGTTGCTGTTGCTGGTCCTCTGTTAAACGACGAGTGGGTACGTATTCGTTGTCGTCAATTTTACCAGGGGTTGGTACTATTGCGGCGCCTAGTCTGTCTTTGACGGAGGGTCGCTGCCCGACGACTGCGAAAAAATAGAGTAAATCAATTGAGCGAGTGCACGCGCCCCTTGAATAAAATGTACACGGGAAAAAAAATTAGGATATGCGATTCTCGGTGTAACTATGCTGATGACGATTATATTGGATTATGAAGTTAAGGGTAGGAAGTATCGTTCGTAACGACGATAACATTTTCCATTAGAGACATTACCTTCAAAGTCACTCGAATAACGAGTGATTTAAACGGCAATGGATCTTTAAATAAAAATATACGAAAAGCCGAATGTACATTTTATATGGATTGTGGTGAACGCGACTGTAGATTTTTTTTTTTTAAGGAAAAGATAGAAGAGCCAGCTCGATTACATTTGAATTTGAAATAGGCGCATTATCCAAAGATAAAAGAGCAATTAAAATTAAAATGAAGTAGATTATCATTCGTTAATTTCATCTAAAAACAACAAACTTGATTTATACGTTAGATGTAGTTGCAAGTTACATTTACCGCGACACGAGTAAGATTAGTTTTGAAGAAGCCTACAACGCTTTTAAAAAAATGAATTTCAATCGAAGCCGTACGTAAAAAATGACGTAAACATTGACGTAAAAATGACGTAAAATTAACGTAAAGTTAACGTCTTAAAATGAGGCTCCGATTTATCGGTAAATGGAGACTTGGAGCATAACCATAAAGGTCGAAGTAATAATAATTACATATGCGTTACCCATGCATTTAATAATGGAATTTACCAATTCTTACTAATTATAAACAACAGACATGGCTATGGGAAAATGTAGGGAGGGGATGGATGGAATTCAAAACTAATTAGCTCGCTTACCTGGTGGCACATTCTCGATAGCTCCGGCGGCCGCGTTATTGTTGACGTTCTTATGCCAGAAAACCCTGATAAATCGATTGTTGAGCACCGCCTCGGTGCATCGAAAGGCCCTCTTGGCCTCGATCGGCAATTCAAAAGTGACCAACGCCGCCTCCGGGTCACCGCCAATGTTCACCTGGATATTTACAATTTTGCCGAATTTGCTGAAATGGTTGTTCAACTGGGAGATGTTGTTGAGGATGCGTGGAACCTTCTTAAGTTCGAGCGAGCAATTGCTCGGATTGTAAATGGTACGTTGCTTGGGTCCGAGCCGATTGAAGTCGAAGGCCTGTTTACGCTTAAGCGGATTAGTGGGTGGATGTTTCGGTTGCACTAGCGGCGGCTGTTGTTGAAGCTGTTGAAGTTGCTGCTGCTGCTGCTGCTGCTGCTGCTGCTGTTGTTGTTGTTGTTGCTGCTGCTGCTGTTGCTGCTTATGTTGCTGTTGCTGTTGTTGCTGTTGCTGCTGCTGCTGCTGCTGTTGTTGCTGCTGCTGTTGCTGTTGTTGTTGCTGCTGCTGCTGCTGCTGCTGCGTTGGCGGCGGTGGCGGCGGCTGCTGCGGCTGTACCTGATGAGGTTGGTGGTGCGGGTGGTGGTGGTGGTGATGCTGTTGCTGAGGTGGCTGCTGCTGCATCGGCAGATCCGTGTTGTTCGTGTGAGGTGCCACAGGGACGCTTATCAGCTCTCGTTGCCCCCGGCCGTACATGACCGCTGGCCCCGGTGGTGGCTGGTGCCGGCCCCACGGAACCTGGGGCTCCATGCTCGGCGCGTCCGGGTTGTATTCCGTCAGCACGTCTGGAAAACGAGCTGTCTTTACATTTTAGGCTTGTCTCGGACTCATAATGTTGAGCGCCTGGTCGACGCTCCGTTTCTTAAGCATTATTTTTATCAAAAGTGACACACGGCTAATGCGGCAATTAATGTGCAAAAAATATCAATTTATAATAAAATGTTCATTTTACGTATGACCAAAGGAACGACATTGTTACTGCGTATTACCAAAGGCAAACATAAGAATTAACTTATTGATGTTAAAATATTCTTTTCTCGTTTACAATCAGCTTTCATCGATCGACAAACGCACTTTTCGCCAAATATACGATAGAGCCTTGTTTTTTTGTTTTTCTTCAAGTGAAAATAAGAAATAGCGATAAACATGCACGTGGGAAATCTCAACGCCGGATCTTATTTACCTCGACCAAACGGTTATTATACACGATACACGTCTTGATAAAATGCCACCTGGACTCTCGTATACGAAATCTTATTGTTACCTCGACTATCGATCACAAACATCGAATTACCACTATCGACAATCTACGCCTCGGTTGCGTTATGATCAATCTCTCTGAATTACGTGAACAGGGTCTTAAGAAAATATCAAAGATCGATAGCCTAGCAATAATAACAATGACAACGAAGTATGAAACGAACCCATATTGGCGTGGTGCTGATTGCGAAGATGCGGTGGTGGTAAACTGGCAATCGGTAAGTGCGGCGGGGGTGCGTTGCCGTTGGGACCGGCACCCCCGGGCGGGGGGACCTCGGGGACCGCCACTACGGGTACGGCGCCTGGAGCCTGAGCGCCGTGCGGCCCGAACGTCAGCACTCTGCTGAGTGGGACATCCTCCAGAACGACGGGATCCGTACCGTGATCATAGGGGCACAGGTCGCCCCGCATGCAGTAGCCCTTCTCTGTGAAAAAAAAAAAGTGAGATGTGAAAAGCAAGAAAGATTGGAGAAAGGCGTTGAAGTAGGGATTCTGTGGAGAGAGAGCCACAGCTCCGGAATTTAAGCTTGTTTGCCAACTATTGTCGAGACATTTAATGAAATGTAGTTTAGGTGGCGACTAGTCGACACTGCCGATCGTAAATGCCTTTAAGGAGGTAACGGTTGACAACGAGAGAGGAAGAAAGTAAAGCGATGTCGCGTTAATCCTTTAGCTTACCGTCAAAGTCCCTGCAACGTCTCTTGGTCGAAACGGGTAGAGAGGAAGCGACTGTAACGCCGCTCTGTATGGATTGACTAGTCGTGGACAGCCTCATGTCGACGTCGCCGTGGTTGCTGTCCTGGGTCGGCGTACCGCCCCCGGGACTCGCGGCGCTCTCCTGCATGCGATCGAGTCTCCCGAGGTCCACGCGCTCGAGCCTGTCTAGTTTTTTGCGCTCGATGGAGCGAGAACGGGAGCGCGAGCGGATCGGCGTCGGCGAGCGATTGCGGAAACGCGACCTGTGCTCGCTTCGGGTCTCCGGGCCGTCGCGAGTGCGTGTGCGCAGGGGCGAGCTGCTCCGGCTCCTCGATCGTCTGCAAATTAAAAAATACGATCATTGATAGTCGCTGGCACTGTTGTTACATAAATTATTAATGATTATGAAGTTCAATTAATTATGGGGCGGTAAATTGTTTCCTCGACTTATCAACATTATTTGCAATTATTGACTGTGACGATAATATGAATAAGGTGCGTCAAGCTACCAATCGCAAATCGAACCTCCATTGATTATAAAAATAAAACAAAAATCCTCCTCCCCCAAAATTATTGTAATTAATTCAAGCTGTTTCCTTGAATAATCAAACTTTTTTTTTTTCAACGCTACTCTCGACTCTTTTAAAGAGCATAACAAGTGCACATACACTTTTTATGCAAATTTTGTAAGTAATTATATCTTACCGAAAAAGTATGTAAAAGTATGAAAAAAAATTCTTAATATCTTTTTGGCAGAAAAAGTAAGGGGAATTGTCTCGATAGAAACTTCTTATATCTTGTAACGAGCATATAATTTCGTAATAATATTGTTATGCAATTTGTCATTATTATTTCATTATTAATTAAAATACATGTTTTATTAACACTCATATCGATACCTGATCAACAAACTTTCATTTGAAATGCAAAACATTTTAAAAGCTTAAATCCTTTGTAAACTTATAGAATTAAAACGTTATCTCCATATTAAATAAGATAGTCTATGTTACGTAAAACCTAGTCTATGTTACGTTTTCCTCTTTTTCAACGTCGTATTCACATAATACCTTGTTGTAAAGAAAATTATATAAAAATTTATTTATTATTGCAGAGCGAATTAGATGAATATTTAAGTAAAGGGTAATGGGCTGTTTAGAATTAATTTAATTTTTAAATAGTTTGTTATAATTTATCTTCCTATAAATTATAGTGCTTTGGCCGTAAATTTGTTATAAATAGTAATTCATGATTAAGCAATCGGATTATTTACAATTTTGACTGAGTTTTACCTTCTATCATGTCGACGAATATTAAGTGGAGGTGATTTATTTCTCCAAGGGCGACTTCTGTCTCTTTCTCTATCTCTCCTATGTTCTCGACTTCTAGATCTACGCCTGTCCCTGTCCCATGATCTTGAACGTGATCTCGTCCTAGATCTTGCTCGACCACTTCTTACACAAAATACCAATTAAAATTAAATTAAATTAAAAATTAGCATAAAGTTATAAAAATATGTACGATAAGTAAGTATTGCTTAATATATGTCATTGTTAATTTTAATAGCTTATGTGTATTCCATCCGACAGGTATAAAAGCTTTATATTTTTAATCAATTTATTGTCAATGGTACAACATAATTATCATCCAATTACTAATTTATATATATATATATATATATATATATATAAATTGTAACAATTGTAATATATATAATATAAAATAATAATTTTATCAAGAAACTTTGTGGATAGAAGCTTACCGACTGCGAGGTCGTTTTTCTCTATCCTTCTCCTCTTTCTCCGATTCTGATTTCCTCGTTTCGCGTTTTACTACGAGAGGTGGAGCCGATCCATTAATGTGAACTATTGGTGTTGTATTTACTGTATTTAATGGTGCAGCACTGTTTGGTTCAATCACCGATGGCAACAAAACCTGTGGAGTTATTGCCGTTGGAGGTGTTCTACTACCATCTTCTTCTTTAATTACCGGTAATATGTACTCCTGAGTTTCTAATGTTTTAAATAGTAGTTCTACAAAGTTTTGCGTTTCTGTAAAATGAAAATAAAAGAAATATTATGGATAAAGCAGACTGTTAATAGAATATGATAAACTTTAACATTTAATTGTTATGAGCTTGAAAAATTTAATTCAATCGAAAATGTACCTTGCTGTAAGAACACATCGAGTTGCTCCACCATACCAATTCGCAGTTCATCTAACGTTTTATCTTTCTTAACTAATGCATATACATATTTTGCTAATGCAGCTGGATCGGCGTCGCATCTGAAAGATACAAGACTGTTAACATAATTTATAATATATACACATTCACATATGTATTACTTATTAATTATTCATTAGAGGTCAAATTCAATAGATTATCGTTACACAAATATGGCTCACAATTTCAAATGCAAAACCACTTTTCAACCAATAGTTTCTCTCGCTACTAAACTGTCATTACCATAAAAGGTATTGTAGCAATGGATTATACGATTGATTATCAAAGTTGTCATATACAAGTTTTTAAATTGTAATATAAACAAACCAAATGTATGCATGTATCTTTTATGTTAATGAGAAAGCGATGTTGACAAAGTCAATGATAGAAACTTCTCCAAGATATGACGATTAAGATCGACCACGTTAAAACGTTACTTTTAATGAAAGTAAGTGATTGTCAGGTATTAGAAAAGTTGTATTAAGGCGATAATGACACAACGTCAATTGTAAATGTAACGAAAATGAAATAAACAGATTCGGTGTAGGATGAGGCTCAAAATAAAAACAAACAGCCAGCCATGTTTCAAAGGCCAACGAGTCGCCGAGGATGTCGAATATTCAATACATTATTCCATAAAGCCGATAATTTTCGTAGTAACGAAAACGTCACAGCATACGTGTATAATACAGGTACAGGTACACAGAGCCACGCATACGTAAAAGCGCACATGTAGGCACGCGCGTTTAACCAGAAACACACACGTATACGCGCACGCCTATGACGAACGCACGTACATGCACACACCCGCGCGTATGCACGACACGCACTCACGCACGTACGTATACATCGACGTGGGCAGAAAAGCAGTTACGCGCGGGCGCTTGCACACACACACACACACGGGCACAAAATGGGCGAGCGCGCGCACCCACAGAAGCTCGAGGACAAGCATCACACGCGCGTTTCGCGCATATATGCATATACGTGTGCTAGCAAGCAAGCAAGCAAGCAAGCAAGCAAGCAAGCGAGCAAGCGAGCAAGCAAGCAAGCAAGCAAGCAAGCAAGCAAGCAAGCAAGCAGGCACGCACGCACGCATACACGCACGTTCGCACACACGTATAAACACAAAACCAGGGGGCATGTGATATCCCAAATGATGGGGTGGCGTTATCTTTGGTTAAGGAAAAAACAAAACAGATGATTATCGTAGAGGAAGCGTCTTCAAAGCCCAAAACGAACGTCCCCCCAGCCCATCCGGAACTCCGCAATCGCACGGGCGCGCGCGCGCGCGCCGTCGGATGGCTGCTGGCCTCAACCATATCGACGACGGGGAGCTATGGCGATGAGGATAGTACGCGGCGAACGCACAAGTTGGCCTACTTACAGCGGCTCCAAAACGGCCGTCAGCCACGCCTTGAACTGCTCGGGATTCTCAATAAGCATTTTCGGCTTGGCCGTCCTCTCGGGCACATTAACGTCAGACGGGAGTGAGACTCCGGGTCCCCAGTAGCCTCCAGCTTCGGTCTCAATGGAATACAAAAGCGCTGCCTCTGCCGTCGCTTAGAGCCACCGCCGCGCGCCCCGTACGTGCTCGCGCAAGACCGCCGCCATTGCTGGATACGTGTAGCCAACTGCGCCACCTCCCCGCCGAGCAGCGCTGCTGTTGTCCCCCGGACCGCCAGCTTTCGCGGCCCGTCGCCGACCCCTCGCGCACTCGACTCCGAGCCTGGCGATCTGATCTTGTCGCCGACGATCCCGAGCGATTTCCTTCACTCGGCGACCCCTCTCTCTCCCCTCAGAGAACGCGGTGAATCGATCGGCGACCTCGGGCTGACGGGTACGGTCAGGTCTTCTCCTCGCCTACCCACGAGTGCCGTTCCCGTCTGCTCTTCCTTGTCCTTTCAATCTCGTTTAATCGCGGGAATATGAGCGTGAGAGCGACTAGTCCTTCAGCACTTTTGCCGAATACGAGTAAGAGGTGCTTTTAAGACCGGGGGGCTTAAAGTACCCCTAAAGCACCACGACCGCTCCTGTTATTTCAATCGAACCCCCATGAGAGGTCACTCCGCTACTTCAATATTCAACTCCACCTCCCTTGATTTTCACTTCTCGTCCGTTCAAAAGGATTTAACAGCGATTTTATACCCAGAGCCACAGCCAGATCAGATATCAGCTACGAAACAATAAGTTTCGTGATTGCAAAGCCAATTAATAATCAGCCATCTCTTCGGTAATGCTACTTCGTGTTAATCGAACCAAGTTTAAGCATTATTTGGCCATCTTGTCGACGACCACTCAATTATACATAATTAACGACAGGAGAAAAGTCACACTTTCCTTTTAAAGATTTTTATCGCAATACTCAATTGGCTATTCAAGGGATTGAAAAGAAAAGAAAAGAAAAAGAACAAAACAAAGATCTAACCGTTTCCGACATTTTAAGGGGTGGAATATCAATGTTGCGGGTAAAATTAAATTTGTTAATGTACATTTCCCTTCCAATATTTAATTTCCATTTAGTTATTGATCTAATTATTTAAGCCCAAACTAGCACATCATCTATATTTATAAATAGACAAAACAATGAAATAATCCATTTGACAGCTTATAATTAATCATTGATTAAACAAACAATGAGATATTTAATGATTATTCTTTTTTTTTTTTAATTAAAAATTTCATAATCCTTTATCATAATCAAGATTGACAAGACTGAGGAAATACTATATTTAAAAGCATCAATAAACGTATTGAATTTTTCGACTTTTATTTTACTTTGCAATCTATTCTTATAGTAAAAAGCTCAAAAATAATTATCGATCAACATAATTTTTTTCTATACATAACGCAATATCCCTAAAAAAAAATCTCCAAATTAATTTAGTAATAAATGTCCTTAAATACTTTAATCGTCACAAGCAACAAGTTATAGATGTAAATATATAATAGAGATTTGAAATCAATAGTTGTCGTTATTACAATGTCAAGTCTTAGTTTTATCTTTTAATTCTTATACACTTATTTTTCAATCAAATTTGTTTAATCATTTGTAATTCAGACAATTTAAAAATAAAAAATTAAAGGCTCCTAAAACATTACTCACCTCCATGTTTTCTTATAATTTAGTATATACTAAGGATAACGAGTATTGCGAATTATTAAAAGTTATTTAATTCAATATCAACATTTAAATGATTAATTAACTTCTTTTGTTATAACTCAAAAAAGTTTCGTATTATAAAAAAATAAAAAGAAATCAGTTATATCTCTCATAATATTATTAAACATTCACATCATTCAGGTATTACTAATTAGATTATTTAGATAAATGTTTAAAAAAAAACTCGTCTTCGATACTGGAGGAAAAAAAAATTAAATAAGCAGTTTTGTAGACTATTTTGAAAGTTGTATAAAAAGCTAAGATAATTGTTAAATTATTAAAAAAAAAAAGAGAGAGAGAGAGACTTCATTTATTATTCATAAAAATGTATTTATTCTTCATCTTGAACAACTGTCGTTTTTTCAGACACATACAAGCCATCTAAGAACTTTCTGATATCCTTATTTTTAACAGTTGTAGATTGTTGTATCAATGCAGCTGAAATTAAAAACGATGGTAGATATCAATGAGATTTATTCTATTATTTAATTTAATTACAAGCAAATTATTTTAATTCAATACAAAAAACAGAAGCTTGTAGATATTGTGTTATCTTTTGAAAATGTAGTGTATATATATAATAATCAAGTTGTCTTTGTTAAAAATTATAAATACAGACTAATAATTTTAGACTTTAAATCACACGGACAATAGGTTTTGTATCAAACATATCTGTTTGTTTTTATTTCATTAAAATAAAGTAATAAAATAATTGAAACTATTACTGCAAATGAAAAGAATTAATTTCTTTTATTCAAATTTTTGGCAATTTTAATATTAGTTGAAAAACGTTTAAATGATTAAAAATATCAAGTATCATGAAGTTTTAATTTCTGAAAATTAAATTACAAATATTTAATAAATTACGAAATATACTTGTCATGAAACTCTTGTCAAAAAATGAACTCTAAATATATATATATATATATATATATATATATATATAGAGAGAGAGAGAGAGAGAGAGAGAGGGAGAGATAGAACGAATGAGATGAATAAATATTTGATAAAATATAAAACAACATTGTAAATATATATTAATATCAATAATTATTCTTTTAACTTTAAAACAATATCTAATAGCAAATTCATAATTAACAAATTCCTATAAATGTAATATTTTAGGCGTTTCTTTATAAATTGATCATTAATATTATTCCATATTATTTGATTTAATTAATATCAATACTAGAATTTCAGATTAAAATATATGAAATTGAAATTTTTATTTCTTTAATAATTTATAAAGTTACACTTTCAAAATTATAAAAAGATTTTGCTTATAAACTGAAATGAATAAAATTATAAAATTACCTGATCTTGAAACATCTTCCAGCGAGTTTCCTTCCAAAATAAGTTCATCCTTTTGTTTTTGTGAATTGACAACTGTGACACCAGGTGCCATTTTAACACGCCTAATAAATTTTTCTCCTAAAAAGTTACGGATCTCAATGACCGTGTTACCTTCCGTGGTTACGCAATTGATGGGAAAGTGAGCATACACGGCTCTCATTTTGTACTGATATCCTTTCGTTACTCCTTTCAACATATTTTCAATATGTGAACATACGGTACGTACAGCTGCTAGTTCTTTTTTTGTCCCAAACCATTTTTCAACTTTTAATAACCTAGAATGAACCATCTGCAACACACAGAATCTTGTTTGTTAGTCGCACTATTTCTTTAAGTATAATAGTTAACGTTAAGTATTCAAAGATCAGTTAATAAGTAATCATTTATAATTAAATGAAGGGGAATCCAACGAATCATCATAAATATATCACAGCTTAATCAAATATCTCAATAAACTTGCAACGCTATAAACAGCCTTCTTAAAAACAACTGTTCTATTTATTTAAACAACTTCACTAAATAAAATAATTATTATTCTTTTATTCCAATTGTACATTATATGATCAATTAATTGATAAACATTAGATTTTCTAAATTGTTTCGTACTCACACGAATATCAAGAGCCAAGTGCTTAAATGAACGCTTCAAAACTCCTCTAGGTCCCTTTACCGTAACAGTTCTCGATTTGACGGAAACAGTTAATCCCTCTGGGATTTTAACCGTTTGATTCGTGACAATCTGCTTCATTTTGCAGCTGCTGAAACATGCATAGACCTAGATAAATACACCTTGGACGAATCAAATATAATGGAATTATGTGTGAAAAGCCTGTTAAAAGTCCTCGATAAAACTACTATTTATTTATTAAAAAGCAACGATCAACTTAAAGCCAAGTTTAATTATTTAATTGAAAGGTCGGTACATTTAATTCGTAAAACAATAATGTCCTATTTGCAGATCAGAAGTGAATAATGACAACACTGAAGAAGGTTAGTAATTTATATTAAAATATAAATTGAGCAATCAAAAAAATATTATCCCCAGCATGTAGAGTAACGAATTAATAAAATAGTTCATTAATTATCTGGTAAAATAATGTTTTTTCCGCGACGATTCGCATGGCTACGAAATAACTCGAAATTCCAAATTACCTCACACACGTATCTCACGGACCGGAAAGAGAGGTGCGGAGCAGGGAAGAAATTTTCTACTACGAAAGTATAAGTGAATCATCAGCGTCGAGCAGCTCCAATGAATAGCCACCGATGGCCTCGTTATTTCACGCAAGATGTCGCTGCGGGCAGTTGCTCATCTCGTCGAGGATACTTCTCGATGCTCCTTACCAAAGAGATGTAGACCCGCGAGATTTTGAATGGCTGCGGAGGCATTGTTGCGATGTTGGAACATACTAGAATAGTGCGAATTGGTGGGTGATAAGATCGAGACGATGATAAGGATGCTTGGACTGCGAATTATTTATCAATAGACGTGGCAATTTATCTCGATTAAATTTCACTAATCAAGTTGCCAATTTACGGCAAATATATTATGTTAATTTGTCATGTAAATTGTCAAAATTCAACGGCAGGCTCTAATTTTTACTTTAATATCATTTATTTAAAAAACAATACAGCAATGATAGTACAATAATTCTTAGGAGCAATAAGACTTTGAATAATATTTTTTTAATTTAATTATCCTACTTAAAGTAAAGATATAAAAGAAAATGTTAAAAAAGAAAACTAGCTTTTATTTACTCCTCGATATTGTTCTTGTTTAATTCTAAAAATTTGTTTAAAATATGAGGCGGCAATCCAAATGACGTTATGTTTGGTAAAATTGTTCTACGTAAGCAATTTCTCAAAGTTTCGACTGTTCTATGTACTAGATACTGAAGAAGAAAAATACGCAGTATTTGATAGGAATATTCTTGTGTATAATATATTATATAAAAACAAATAACAACTTACCCTAGCATCGTGCATTAAGTTAAATATCTTTCTTCCCTTCGCTTCACTTATGGAATTGGTCATTATTATATATTTCAGCAGTATTTTTTTTTCAGTCATTGACATAATCCGTCTATAAACGAAAATAACAATAAAACAATACAATTATTACATTTGTATATTTTCTTTTACTTTATATTAAAATACACGGCGTGGTAAAATCCACGCTAAATACCTTGGAACATCATGTTTCTCGTGTCGATCGGGTTGATACGAACAGCTCCTAATCGTACATATTTCATCATCTGAGAATTGCTGTTGTTGCCACCACTTTTTACTGGAAAATAATCTAGTTATGTCAAAGTGACGAATTTTATATTATATGGCAAGAAACTATTGAAATATATACTCATTATTATGTTGCTTTTCTTCTTCTTCGCTGTTGTTAAAAATTTCTGAAATTGAAGAATCTGAATCATCCAGATGATTTGTATGTTTCGCATTGTTTACTTCGACGTTAGTTTTGGTTGGATTTATATTTTCATTTTCAAAAGTATAAGACATAAAGTCATCTGAATCGCTACGCCGCCGTTTCGCCTCCTTAACATTAGATTTTTGTTTAAAATTGCTGTAGGATTCCATTAAATTTTTATTGTCACAATTTTTCATATTCATAATTGTGTTTGTCTGAGTATGAGATCGATGGTATCTATTATTTACCTGATTATTATCCACAAATTTATCGGTTATTAATACATTCGACGCTTTATCATTCATTTCTACATCAGTGTCCTTTTCAACTACCAATTTCATTTTTCTACCTGTTTTTATATCGTTAATTACATTTATCGACTCGTTGTCATCTACTTCTAAGTTGTCACTGCATTTAAACCTATTAAAATAAATTCTATATGTACTGATTATGTTATTTTATAATAATTAACTAATAATTTAAATGTTTGATAATTCAAAAACAATGTTTAATATTTAGTTTGGAAGTGCAATATAAATATATTATATAAGTAGAAATAAAACAATACCTATATAAGCTTATATCAAGCGGTTCTCCTGCTTGTATAGAATCAATAATATATGTAATATTATAAAGATCTGTAAATACTTTCTGATCATTTTTTGAGAAGTTTAATTCATCGGTTAAAATATAGGTTGCATTATTCGAGACTTCTGCACCTAAATCCTAAAAATAAAAATTTGTATTATTATGATTAATTGTTAAACAATTGAATTAAATAATAGTGGATAGGCACGAATAAAAATTAACAGAATTAGTACCTTAACAAGTTTTATATACAGTTTCTCAGTTTCGGTTGATAAGCCTTTAAATTTAAATTGAAAGTTATTAAATATAAATTTATGCCTTTCGAAAAAACTTGTAGAATTAGATTCACTCATTATTTGAACGTATATTTTTCACGAAGCGCAGTAGCAATTAATATAAAAACAAAAATTAATGAAAAATTGCCTTCGATCCTTAAACCCAAGTGTTTCAAGGAAAAAAAAGTACGTTATCATTATGTTGGTATGAATACGGTGGGAGCAAAATAAAAAAAAAAATTTTTATTTCAATACATGATTCATTAGTAAAGGGAGTAAGTCAATCCCAAAAATTGAAAATTTTACGCAATTAGTGTAAAATCAATCAATGTCAAATACTCATATAAAAATGTAAATAAAAACAAGATTTCTCAGTTTTTTTTTTAATTTTTTTTTATTTTTTTTTTTTTTTTTTTATTAGACTTTAGTTTTCAATACAATTTTTAAGTACTTATTCTATGAAGCTCTGATGAATATTAAACTAAAATAAATTAAAAGATATATTAAATAGTTTTAATAAGTTAGAACTGCTTGTAAGAAACTAATTGTCTAACGCATAATGTATGTATTTAATGTAAAAAGCAAAATTTCATTAAATACTAATTGATTTTAGTATTGATGTTTATAAAAAGTCTTATTGTTAAAAAGTAATAACTCAATTACAAATGAAGAATTAATGTCGAATAATTTTTATGAATGCGTGAAGAATATTTGGATGAAAAATGTATGCCAAATGAATGACCAAATCATAATGAAAAGCGAATCTTTAAATCCCAATATATTTTAGCAAATGTTTATACATTAGTATTACTTATACGTATATTTATTGAGTTACGAATAACGAAAGTCGAAATGTTACTGTTACCTTTGAAAAATCCATTTATTTAAAAAAGAAAAAATTATTAACATTGGCAAATATATAACGCTTGACTCTAGTTAAATCACCTAATTATTAAAAATTGTATGAAAAATTTTACGTTCGAATACGTATGCCGATAATAAGTAATTTGCTTTAACATTACATTCAAATTTAAAATCTTGTTAAGTAAATTTATTTCGAGCTATCGTTCTTGACTATTGACAAACATCAGTTAGTTGTTCGGTTAAAATAGCAGAAATCATCTATGATAAACTTCAGGTTTCGGTGTCTTCATCAGTCTTATAATATTCGCCAGAGTTTTGGGTTAATTTAGAAGAGTTAATATTCTTTAATATAATATTTTTAACAACGATTTTGTCAGGCTCCTCGAGAACATGGCATTTCTTTGTAGACGAGCAGTTTCTCAGATAGTTAAACGCTGTTTGCAAACATCTTGTAAATTAGGAAGTACGTAATCACGAAGTTTCATTGATCTCTGATTTTTGCCATGATTTCAAACAGTTTGTTCCCTTATATTATGTAATAAAGGAATTATAAATCTTTTCGAAAATCAATCCTTGCTACGAAAGCGATATTATTTTCCTGTTACTTTTAATAATTAATTTAATTTTTAGAAAAATTGAAATCACTCGAACATGGTGCTGGTATTTGTGGAAAGGAGAAGTACGAAAACACGAATTTAGAGACAGGATATGATGTTAGTATTTTTGGTTATTTTATTATTATCCCTTTATAAGTTTATTTGCAGTTTTTTTTTTTTTTTTTCGTATAATAATATTTGACAAGACAGAGTGTGCCGAGCTTGCCAAATCGAAATATAAGTAGATTTTAAAAAGTTTATTTCATTAATTATAAAATATTGTAAAAAATCTTCACGCAGAAAAATGATGTTAATTTATATTAAATGCATGTAAATAATTGATTTTCATTGCTACTGGAAGTTGTGAAATATATAAGAACTCTCGACTACATATTAGCTTTTAAATAATAAATTCACCACATTTATAATTATCAAAAATTCTATATTAAGAAAATTGACGTAATTTTTATTAACGTTTTACTGTTAAATTTTGAAGAACCTCTGTATGTAATAAAAAAAATAAATAAATAAATAAAAAAATAAAAAAATAAAATAAACAAAATAAAAAAAAAACAAAATAAGATTAAATAATTTTCTCAAGGTGAAAATAAATAATTTATTTCGTTGTTTTATATGTAGGATCCATTTGACACATTACCCAAAAAATTTGGACCAGGAACTAAAGAATGTCCGAATTTAGTTGGTAGCTTTTTTGAGAGTCGTTTAGTTGGATGTATTTGTAATGACGAAGAATTCGATATTAATTGGATGTGGCTTCATAAAGGCGAACCAAGACGTTGCGAATGTGGTCATTGGTTTAAACTTATTGAACGCGAATATACGTCACTTAAGTCGCCAGATACAACAGAATCACAAGGTTAATACATTAACATTAGATAATCATAAATATTTAGGAAGAAGAGGAAGTATTTACAATGCACATCTGCTCATCATTCTTGTTAAAAAGGATATTAATTTAGTATTTTCCTATAAATTATGGAAATAAAATGTATGTAATCCCTCTCTAAAATTCATTTTTATTGTAATAAAAATAAAATTATTTCAAATGTTAATCATAAATAATTTTATTAAAACATCATCAACATTAAATTACTCCTTCAAAAAATTTCTTATTAATAGAAATAATAATTGTATCAACAGTTTAAGACATTTATTATGACAATAGATAACAACCAAGTGAAATAATAGTAACAATATATTATATAAATTGTGTTATATTATAATAGTATATTATATAGTAATATAATATATTATATTATTATAGTATAATATTATCATAGTCCTATAAAACTAAGTCAGTATTTCAATCAGAAATACAAGTAATAAACGTGAATACAAATGATATCAAAATTTTTCCTAAAATTATCGATAATAAAATTGCTCCTATAAATCTCTAACCCTCTTTCTTCATCTACAAAATCATCCGATCTTTTATATGTACCAAACGCATAGAAATTTTACTAAGAATATGTACAAAAGTTACTTTTATATTTTTAAAACCATTATAACAGAAATTTGATGTTTTTTTTTTATTTCGAGAGCATAAAAATAATTTTGATTAATTATTTTCATTTTTCATTTCCGAAGTTTCTTTCATCTTCGATTTATTAAAACTGTCATTATTAATCTTATTAAGATCATCGACATTTTGACATTCTAAATCTTCATTTAGTGTCGAAGGTTGATGAGAATTTGTTGTTTGTGACTGAATGAACTCGGATTTCTTTTTTAATTGACCAACTATTGTAACATAATTTGAAGGAATCAATCCAACATTTATACTATCTGTAGCTCTTGACCATCCTGGTAAATTTTTTGGTTGTAATGTTTGAGGAGCTAGCCAGACCTTTTGACCAATTTTTAAAGGCAATTCTTCTGACGAAGCTGGTTTAAAACTGTAAAGCGCAGTTGCGGTATAAACTGCTTCTCCGCTTTCTAGCCATTCTTTTGGATTCTTAACTGTATAATACAAAAAATACATAAAGATAAATAATTTAATTGTTAACAAATTTTGATCCGTGCATATTATTATAAATAAAAAGAACTTAAATTATAATTGATATGATTTATCGATAGGAATATTATATCATATAGTTCATTAAATTTTTTTAACAATTAATGCTCATATTTCAAATCGTGTAATTTATATAAATTTAAATGATCGTTCATAATAAAAGTTTTTATTTTACTGATAAAAAAACTGATACGTTTTAACATAAACATATAATTAATGAAATAAATAAACTAAATTTCTCTTGTAATGTCAAAAAATTTATCATATCATTGATATTATTGGAAAGCAATTGTAATAATAACTAATAATATATGCTTTCGTTAAAATTCAAATGAATATTAAAAATGATTGAAAAAATGATTTTTAATATAGTATTATATTTATATGTACGTTAATAATTGTATGTTAAATTATTAAAATTATACTATCATTTAGTTTTATATTATATAAATATTATTATCAAATATTTATATTTGTATATTATTATGTATATTTGGTATAATATATACATTACCAAATATAATAAAGTTTTTGTGGCTTGTATTTATGTATTTAAAAAATAAGTAAAAAATTTACCATCAATGCTCATGTTTTTTGAATTATGTACTAATTTGTGAATTATATATGGCGTAGCAAAAAGAATGCTTAAAAATAAGAAAATTGGCCACGACGATGTTCCTGGTTGTTCTGAATGTCCATTCATAATTTCTGAAATTGTTTCTCTCCATAAAATTTCACTATTTGTATCTTGATTTCTTAATCCTAAATAAAATATAGTATCATGAACTAAATAAATTTTGATAGATAATGAATACTAAATCTAGTAAGAGTATTTAGTATATTAAAGGTAATATTATAATTAATAAATTATATATATATATATATATATATATATATATAAAAATATATTAAAATTATAAATAATGTACAATTCATACCAAGTGTATATTTTATCTTCCAATATAACCATTTTAAAAAACGTATTAAGGCAAAATTATTCAAAAGTTGTCTTAACATTAATCTTAATTTCCCAACATTTTCAGCTACTCCTAATATAGCTCGAAATGAACTGGTCATAGCAAAAAATGTTGATTCTAACATCATTGTTACAGATGAAAATGTATGAACCATTGTTTCTATTGATTGAAATGCTGGTCTTGTACTTTCTTCAGCATATTGTACAAATCTAGGTATATAAAATTATGATAAAATTATTTTAAATTCACTGCACTTTCATTTTCATACTAAAAGTATAGAATATATAGTTTTTTTTTTTTTTTTTTAATAAAATTTTAATAATAAGTAAGTATAAATATAATAAACGATTAAAACGAATAACACCCTTTAAAAAATATTATAATGGCTTATAATTACTATTATAATTATTTTACATATATATATTAAATTTAATACTATTTATTACTTAATATGTACATATATGTTATCATTTGATATTTTATTCAATTGTAATTATATTAAATCACGAATAAAAGGTATAATAAAGAAATTAAGTAGTAAATAAAATGAAACATTATCGAAACTTATGTGAAAATTGTTCTTGTTATTAAATCTACTAACATGAATTTAAATTTAAAACCATTACAATGAAATACATTATTTCTTTCATTTTTGAATTTATCCTGCATTTCATAAATAGGCCTGCACAATATTTAATAATTATTCAATAAATTTTATTAAAATATTGTTTATAAATTTTACGAAAATTATTAATATTATATAATTATTTTTAAATAAGTAGCTTCAATCACATGGTAATAATTAAATAAATTAATAAGTAAACTACCTATTTTCCACATCCCCGCTTGGGCCACTCCATTGATTTTGACCATACAATGAATATCCCGGATAAGGTCCCATACTCCCATATCTGTTCATACCCATGTTATTCCAACCTGATCCATATCCGTAACCACCCATATAAGATCCAAATGGATTATAAGTCTGGTATGAAGACATTGGTCTACGCGGTGGTAATGGTGGTGAATTTATAGAAACACCAGCGCTGCCTCCAACTGGCTGGCCAATTCTGCATATAATAAAAAGTGTATAGATAAAAGTACTTAATTATGTACAACAATATATTTATAATACTTATATAATTTTTATTTTAAAATTGATAAAATTAAAAACTTTTCTTAAATTATTATGATATATGAATAGAATTATAGGAATTTATAACGAACGAGTTCATTCAAGTTGAATTAATTTTTGTATGTATAAAATCAAATTGTATCTTAAATAGATAAATAAATAATTAAGCTGAAATTACTTGCACTTATATATTTTGTATAATAAATATTTTAAATTACTTTCAATATTAATTAACAATTTTTATTATTTTTATTTTCTAGAAAATTCTTGTTGATTTAAAATTTCTATTATATTATATTTAATAATTATTTAGTATAAAAAATTTGTCCTATTAATTTTATGAATATTTACCCATCCATAATATTTGGAGAGTTACGAAATTGTGTTGAACCAAGGGCATTCGTTCTTTGTTGATTCATCATGTTTTGTTTTGGATTTAATGTATAGGGGATCAAATGAATCTGTTTAAACAACGCTTTAAACAAAAAGTATTTGTTAACTTTTTATTAAAAATATTAATTATTTTAGCAATAACCATAGATCCAGTGCTACGTATGTAAAACAGTATATGTAAATACTCTCTGTAATCATGGAGTTTATCTAATTTTGTCTTATCAGGTTGGTAAAATTTATCTTAAAATAATTTAGTTATTATACGCATTAAAATAATATATTTGGAAAACTACCTACAATACATTGTTATTTGCAACGACACATTATTATTTTAGTTTATTGTTAAATTTCCATTATTTTTTCTTGCAGGTTATTCTGCATAAAATATTAGAATTCTTTTAAATAAAAATTGTTATAATATCGAACATTAAATAATCTGTAAATACTATTATTGATAATGTAAAAAAATTAATACACAGTACGCGTACTCTGCCGTATTATAAATGATTAACGTAAATTTATACGTATACTCACATCAGTCTTCATCTTCTTTCATCTTCGCGCAGTGTTTTTTTTTTATTATTTGTTACAAAAATTTATAATATGCAATAGTTTTTACAAAAAAATTACCTATATGTACTGATGAATAAAAAACTAACCTGTTTTATTTACTCGGTAAACTCAAGCTAATTCTCAAGTATTAAGAATCGGAGTAAGGAATCGAGTTCACGGGAGGAGTTGATTTAGTTTAGTTTACCACTTGGACGTTTTTCTTCAAGAGTCTTCTTTGCTATAGTTAATGTTCCGAGCAGCAATAGTGAAAGTCGGAAGTATGGTGACACATTATCGCTAGCAGACTAACTCACACATATGAGCAACAATACGTGGAATGTTATGTGCTGCCTTTCTACGCGCATTTCCCTTTTAGCAATTAGTTAAAAATTCACACACCGTAAGGATGAATAACAGTCGTAAGGCAAAATAAAAGCTCAATTCTTTAAATATTTAAAGCTACAATGCATAATGTAAATTATGCTTCGTCATGCTTATTAATTGGTGAAAATTAGCCAACCAATTGCAAATATACCGTATTATTACATTCTACGTCTTCGTAAAAATTACATTAAAAGTTTATTTTAATAGAAGAGAAATTTCTCATGTATGTAACATAGAGTGTGAAATAAATTTTGCAATGGGGGCAGGAAAGAGTCAATTCACCGAAGAAGAACTTCAAGATTATCAGGTTAAAATTTCTATAATGAATTCTATTAGTTTTCAAAGTACACTCAACAATTACTAAATATTTCATCTTTCTGTATTAATTGCTAAGAAATTATTCACAAGTAGTACTATTTTAAACTTGATTGATACTTGATATTTTTAAATAATTTCAGGATTTAACATATTTTACCAAGAAGGAAGTATTATAGTAAGTATTTAATTACAAATACAATTTATACATATGTAATTTATATGTGGTAATTATAGAAATATTAATGTTCTTTAATGACTTTAGCGCGCATCAAAAGTTCAAAGCTCTTGCTCCAGAAAAAGTTGGGCATAATAGAAATGCAAAATTGCCAATGTCTAAGATTTTACAATACCCAGAACTAAGAGTAAATCCATTTGGTGATAGAATTTGTAAAGTATTCAGTTCCAGTCAAGATGGTGATTGTACGTTTGAGGACTTTTTAGATATGATGTCTGTTTTTAGCGACGCTGCTCCCAAAGCTGTAAAAGCAGAACATGCATTTAGAATATTCGGTTAGTAATTAATTTAATTGGCTTTTTTTTAATTGTCTTTATAAATATTTTATGAATAAGACAAAAAATAAAATTTTAGATAAAACAAACTGCGGACATGATATTGTTACTTTTGTATTTTTCATTTCAAAGAAAAATTGCTTTTATTTTTTTTTTTTTTTTTAATTAATGAATAATTCAAATATATTAATATTAACCAGTTGTCTATGTATGATAGATTTGATTTTGATAGATTAAACTTTATTTTAATAGATTTTGATGGGGATGACATGTTAGGGATTGGTGATTTACGTCAAGTTGTTGATAGATTGACTGGAAGTCAACGACTAAACGAAGGGGATATGCAACAACTCATTCAATATTTACTTGAAGAAGCTGACTTAGATGACGATGGATCGCTAAGCTTCGCTGAATTTGAACATATAATTGAAAAAAGCAGTGATTTTTCAAAGTACAGTACAAGTACTTAAATGTGACCTGGACTCTCAACATTAATTTTCATATGTCACTTTTTATGTTGCAGAACTTTCCGAATACATTTATAAAAAATGTATACAATTATATATGAAACGATGCATAGATAAATTAAAAGACTGAATATACTAGTTAGAACAAAGTAATCTAATTCATAGTGAAATATATACTTATTATAATAGAAGTTTATCAAGATTTAAATGATAAATAAAAAGACTAATAAATAAAATTTATTATACTTATAGAAATTTAACACAGAGTAATATAATGTACATTCATATTTAGCATATTCTACAATTATAGAACTTTCACATGGATTAAATATAATTGCTTGTTTATATTAATAAAATTATAGTATAAAATGTGTTTTTTATATTTCTAAGATTATTTAAATAAATATTTTTTTTTTTTTAATGCATATGGTTTATATTATATTTAAAATTAAAAAATTAATATTCGTGTATACACAAATATTAAAATTCAATATTTGAGACGTTGATTAAAAATGTTGGAAAAATAATGCGAGTCTTATTGTACTACGTTTGTATTCTGTATCAAAATATAATATCAGTATTCTCGTAAGATATACTTTTACTTATATGTCCTATTACTGTTTGAAAATGCCATTATTTTCATCAATACTTTTAATATTACGATTGTAGATATCCCCTGTAAATGAAAAAAAAATTGAATATATTAATATAACTTTTATAATGATTAAAATAACTCTAAATTTGTACTCACGGAAGCTTCATACGCATAAAAATCCAACAAGTAGTAAAAGATACCAGAACACTAATAAATCCTACACTAATTAATAGTATCCTAGTAAGTTTAGGCATAGATGGACTATGCGTTTGATCGAGAATTATAAAACCCAGACCTCCTAATGTAAAAAGAAAACTTGATGCTAAACCTTCCATGATATATTGTCCGTTTACTCTGTATGGCATAAATGCTACCTATTTCAACAAAATTATAAGTTAAAATAATGCAAGTAAAGAAATTCTGGATAAAAATTAAACAAAATTTACAGGTCGACTATGGCCATGTTCGTCGGTTGTAGAACCAACACTAGGTGGTTCTAAAATAACATCGTATATGATACCTAAAATAAATATAACATAATTAAATCTTTCGTTACAATAATAGATGATTACGATAGATAACTTCATAATAATTCACCTCCCGTCATTAAAAAGTAGGAGAGCAACACCATAGAGAAAACCACCATTGCACTCGGTTTTACAAAGAATGATGGTTTTTTTAATTTAAGATTTGGTACCTCTAATACATAAAATGGTAATCGATATAAGAAATTCATTTTGCTTGTTGTGTAACTTTGATTGTACGTTAGATTAGAATTGCGAGTTCAATATTATACTTTATAGGTTAAAAACGTTCTCCTGATAACTAAAAGAGACCCGGTATATTGACATTTGACACGTATATTCTCTTCAACGTTTACCTACGCATCTACAAATATAAGAAATTTCGATATTAAAATATTAATTTATACTTAAAATTTATCGAGTGATATATTTCTGATGAATATTTCACAGCAAATGTAGTGCTTTATAAAGTTATACAATTTCCTTTGGCATGCGTAAATTATAATTTACATAAATAATAAATTTCATTATACTAGACTTATAGTCAATATGAGAATGACAAATGAAAATTATCTTTTGTAAAGTACTCAAATTTTAAAAGATGGTATTATCCAAATTTAAATGCCAGCAGGGCTTCAATATCAACGGGTATTTTTCTTTTTACATTAAAAAAACTGACCCAGCATAATTTAATAAAAGTGTAAACATTTAACGCCTAACGATAAGCAGTAAAATTGCCATAATTTATCAATATGCCGTGGTGAGTTCTTCAATTAACGGTTATAGTATAAAGTTATAATATAACTTAACTAGAAGTATAAAGATGATAAATTAAAATTGTATAGGACTATTGACACCATTCCAGTTCAATAAAATTCAAACATAATGTAGTATACGTACAAAATTCAAAACAAGATTGAATATCAATTGCTACTATAAATCTATAAATATCATTTTCAACTTAACAATAGCTCTTGTGATTATTCTAATACCTATTGTTCTTAGGATGGACAGGAGAACAGAGAGAGAGAGAGAGAGAGAGAGAGAGAGAGAGAGAGAGAGAGAGAGATCCAAGATTTGAATACTTCTTTAAATAATGAGTTTTATGTAATTCAATTTTATGGTTATTAAATTTTAAAAATTTTGAAAAATGTCAAAGTTTCAGCAAGAATAATTCTACGAAAAATTTTACAAAAATTTAATCTAAAATTATATATTTTAAATTATATCAATTTATTATTAATTGCTTAGCCGTGCCGTTAAAATTAATGCTATTACTTAAAAACACAATCTTTTTTTTATTTTTTTTTTTTATTATTATTATATTAATTCTACACTAATTCTTAAAGTCAAGAAAAATTTAACATCGTCGAGTTGTGATGTTTAATAAAATCGTGTTAATAAAATATACGAGTTGTATTCAATTTATTAAATTAAATATTACAAATACTAGTTTCGAAAAACGTACTTTAACCGTTTATTTCTAATTTAAAAAAAAAAGTCTTAATCATGAATAACATTTTTAAAAGTAGTTCTTGATATTAAATTGATAATTCGAGCTAAAGTTGCTGACAAGTACGGGTATCGATCATTGTTATTCCTACATATCAACTTTTCTTTAAACGTACTCTTCATTTGTCTCTTTCCTTTGAAATTTCGTGCATCCAACTTTCCATGAGAATTATTGGGAGTGGCGTGCGGAGCACAGTGCGGTTAAGAATCCGTGTTTCACAAATATTATGACGACTAGCGTTTTCGGCTTCTGCTTGAAATCGATGCGGTGCGGCTGAATATTGTCGGTACTTAAAAATAAAAATTGAAGAAATCGGTATAAGCAAAAGTCATTGATGTCGAGTCTATTATCCAGGATTATCTAAGGTACAATTATTTGACATGGATATTGGATTTTCGTGTCGGACAATCAAGAGTATCGACAAAAGGAAAATTGCACGCATCAAATTTTTATTTAATATTGATTTTTCTATGGCATATAGCATTGATATTTTTAATCTGTAGTCTCTGGAATGGAAAATATAAATAATAAAGGGCGCAATTTCAGAGAAGTATTTCGATTCAACGACATTATGCATTAAATAGTTTAAATCGGAATTTGTCGATAAACATATCGTATATACCATCTATTATAATAATGCTGATTTTCAAACGATTTTTCATTATAATTCTTTGTCTGCTGACAGCATTGTTAAAGTTCTGTTAAATGCAGGTTCGGAATTAAAAAACAAAAAAAAATTTCATCAATTTTTCCTTTGATTTTTACAATTTGATACGCATGAAATCGCTTTAAAAAGTCGTGACGAATGTGTCGGCACATGCGTTAAGTCAAGTCATGACCGACATTGGATTACTTGTCTCTATAAGTTACAAACTCATTCGCTATCCTTATCCAATGAAATATGCAATGCACATCATCTAGCTCGTATCTCTACAACTTAGGCGCATTAAGCTGTCCTTGTCTCGCGAGCGCAATACTAGCTAGTAACCAGTTGGTAGGTTAGGTTGGTAGGTAGGTAAATAGGTAGGCAGATAAGTAGTTAGATAGGTAGACATTTAGCGAACGGTGGAGAATTAAGTACTGTCCGCAGGATGTACAGTATAGTCTGTACAGTATGCGTTAAAAGACGAGATGATTAGGAAACGTCAATGTAACGTTCCTGCAACGAGGCGTAAAACTTACGAATCAAACACGCGCGTTCCTTTTCGTTAAACGGCGATGTGCGGCGTGTTTTTTTTCCGATTTTCCTCCACGTCAGTCAACGCTAATGCTGCTGTCGTGCCTGCTGGCGTAAAGTGTCAGTGAGCTCGTGGGGACTGGGAAACACACGTCAAGGGTGGTCCGATGTTGGTTGGCATGCATATAATACAGAATAGAAGTGTTGTTTTTATCTTTCCCTTCGGCCGATAGATCGACTAATCAAATTTGTGCTTACGGAAAGAGGAAGAAGAAGAAAGTGTGACGAACCTTATACTAAGGGTATTCATTAGTCGGCGTTCGGTTGGAGGGGAAGAGGGTTAAAAGGCTGCAATAGTCTTTGGAATGCAAGATCTTTTAACGATGATTCTCAATGCGGAAACATGAAACTTTGCGCGGCTCACGTTTACTGGATGCTACTCTTCACATCTGTTCTCTCTAGGTAAGATAGTGCATACAAAGACGTTCAATGTATCTGATGTACAAGGGCATAAATTGTTGTACATTTAACCAGATAATTATTGCATCGATTCATTAATGTTAACTTTTTGGCCATTTACTCACATTTCTAAATTATTATTATTACATATGCATATATATATATATATATATATATATATATATATAATGTGCGTGTGTTTGCATGCAAGTGTATGCATATAACCATAAAATTGTATATATTTACATGATTGTAACAATATATTATAATAATATTTCAATCACTTTCTAGTTCTACATAAGTAACATCATTTCTTACTTAGCGCCAATTTATCTTCTACAGAACTTAATTTTAATATTTCAAAATGTAAGATAAATTTTTTCTATACAAATTAGATATTGATATATATATATATATATATATATATATATAAAAATCTTGAATTATTATTAAAATTTTGAAAAACGTATACACTTATATGTAATATATATATATATATATATATATATATATATATATATATATATATATAAAGCAAATAAATATATAATATTTATATAATAGATATATACAAATAAAATAATACTTTAGTAAAATATTAATACATTGTGCGCGAGTGTGCGCGCGTGCGTGGGTTGTGTACAGATTTGGAAGTTACTTATACTCAGTGAATACATAATTATCAAAAAATATTTTCCCACATAAATGAAATAAAAATAATAATTTTAAGATTTTAATGTAACATGGAGAACTTTGTGACAAAAGTTATTTATAGAAATTATTATTTTCATTGCAGTACACTTCTCTTTTTAATCGTTGCTTCAGAAAGTATACAAAATAATAAATTTATTGGACCAGACAGAAATCAAGCCTTTATAGAAGAAAAGAATGCTACTTTTATCAAAAATGTTAAAGATCGATCAGAAACAAATAGTCAAGAAAATTCTAATATTAAAGGACCTTCCTCGATAAATGCGGAAGTTAATGATCAAGCCAATGAAGTAAGTATACATTTAATTAATACGCACAATTATCATTGACTATTAATATTCATGAAGATAGACTTTTAATATATATATATATATATATATATATATGTAGAACGTGAATATATTTTTTTATCAATTATCGTTAGAAATTTCTTTATAAATTGTATTTGCTTTTAGTAAGCTATCTTAAAATCGATACAATATTTGTATTTTTCTTTTTAAATAATTTTTCTCAAACATAGAATATATCATTGATTTATATTTTGTAATCTTCGATCGTTACTCTTACATCTAGGATATACAGAAACGAGTTTTAGCTAGTGTCGATGCATCTAAAGAAAATGAAGAAAACCAATTTCCAGAAGAAATAGGAATTTTAAAAGAAAGTTTAACTCATCGACCAAATTCGTCCGAAGGGTAAGCGTAAATTATTTCTTCAATTAAAATTTCTTTAAAAGAGAAAAGAAAAAACAATGAAAAAACAAAAAAAAGTATTAGCCTATTTACTTAGAAAATAATACCTTTTAATAAATAAATTTGCACAATATAACAATAATTGATAAAAAGAAAGAAAAAAAAATTTTTTTTTTATACAGCCTTGTAATTAAACAACTTTCCATTATTATCTCATGTTCTACGAATACATTTATAAATAGAGATATTTATTATTGTCGATACATTGTGATAATATCCTAGATTACTAGATTACTTAACAAGAGAATGATTGTACGTAGCATTTAATGCCGGTAACCTCCTTTAACATTTAACCTCCTTGACGCATACTTACCGCGATCCAGTAACCCTTATATGTACTCGATTGCTATATTTTGATTTGCGCTTAGTGAAAACGTGTGTCTAGGTCGTGAACGAAGACGAAGCCTTATCGAGATGTGGTTTACACAATTAGCTTTAAATATATCGATCAACTCTGGAAACTGCGTATTAAAGCCGAACGAGTACAAATTTGGTACAATGTGTCTCCTCCCTTATTATACATATTATAATTTTCTCTATAATCTAATTTCCATCGAAGCAATTAGCGAAATCGATTAGGTATTGATTGAGGAATAAGAGCTGACGAGTAAGACGTAAGAAGTATGCATCTTCGAAAGTTAAACATTATTTATTTTATCTTATCGGTGATTAAAAACAATAACGTGTAGAATATAGATAAATATAGATGACGTAGAAGTGGTAGGGAGTATCGTTGATTTTAAGTGACGCGAGTGTGCGTGATCACGTTTATAGAAATGCATCGATCAATAATTCGATTCACTAAGTAATTACTGTGATATAGATATAGCAGAGTTTTCATTTTATAGATAACAGCGAAACAAATCAATTGAATATTATTATAAAAATTATTATGCATTACATGGCGTGAATTTTAATTTAATGATAATAGCTGAATTTTGTTAAACACGTATTAAAATTAATACCCAATGCTTGTTATTTGTAGAAAACGCAATTTTTATTACGGGTATAATATTATTTTTACACATGATAAAATTGAAAATTTAATTATAAAATCTCAAGGCGGTTAAAAAGACGCCATTTCCTCTCATTAATTTCGTTATTGTTTATGAAAAAAAAAGTCAATGTTTTTTCAATAGTTCTTAGATAATAGTTATTAGTGTCAGACGAATATACCTTTGCTTATTTCTCTTATCGAATTTAGATTGCTCTACTTATCAGTTATATTTCGCCCAATTTGAGCTATCAAATTATTTATTTGATATGAAAATAATCATAAAGTTAATTAGTGGTTAGCTCAAAATAACAATTTATCATTGTTCGAGTTTGTTAAACAATAATCAATAACTGTTTTTGTTGAAAATCTTAGGTCCTATTTTCTTTCTGCACTATGTTTGAGAATAAAATATGATATTCATTAATGTTACCAGTGAATCGATAGACTGCGATTAGCTATCGAGGATTCAAAATTTATTACTCAATATTTTTAACTCATCACTTTCATTGCGATTTAAAAACGATAATTAATTTATAAATATTAATAATTAGCGATCGATCGATAGTATTTTTGACAAATTCGTTGAAATATTATTGCGTAATAGGCATCGCTAACGCGTGCATTGACTTCTTCTTTTCTTTTTACATTAGAAAAGAGTATAATATACATTGTAGAATTACGGAAAAGAAACTGCCGATTATCATCGAATGACGTACAATATGTTTATATTTTTATAAATTTTTTTACGGATTTGTACACACGAATTATTATTAAGTTAATCATTAGTTATATATAAAAAAGGGGCGGGGTAAACAAGTTAAAATAATAAACGAGATATTTATCCTTATTTACGAACTGCTTATATTACATAAGACAAATTAAAAAATAGTAAATAAGCTTGAGTGTCATTGTCTTCAACGGCATTGTGATAATACGCAAACTCCGTGTTATTCATACTTGTATGTCAGCAACGTGTCTAGGGCGAAGGATAACGAAGCCAATATAGCAAAAATCCCACTAGGCAATAGCTGGTCGAGGTACTCGGATGGTATTATGTCGTTTTCATGATTGTTGAGTTCAACGATAAGAATGATGCCAGTGATGCAGCATAGTAAGGCGGCAACTCCAGAGAAAATCATTAGCTGAAAAATAAAGATTAAAGCAATTTTAAGGGATTAAGTTACTTTTTTTCTTTACTTCGCATTAAAATCAAATAAATCTATCATTATTTTATTTAGATATATTAAGGTTTGTTAATGTAGATTTAAATAAAAAATTACGAAGTAGTATGAGGGTAGACGTGTTTTCATCGATAATTATCGAATTATATCGCGTTATTTTAATTCAGTATAAATATGTTTAACTATCTACAACGCATTAAGTTTCATCGCAAACATATTGGAAATAATAATTAAAGAAGCAACATATACAAAATATATCATTATATATTTTATTAATCGAATTTAATGATTCAAATACGAATTCTTTTTAATTAAACAAATATTTAAGAACGTTACGTAAGATGTAGTAAATATTATAAGACGATGCATTAATATAATAAAGATTGTAATTTCATTGTGTAACTTTTAACTAAAGAATGTAATTTATTTTATTAATTCGATTAAAATGAAATATGAATTAATAACCAACTAAAATAGATAATATTCTAAATTTATATGATACGAGTGTATTTTATTCAATTTTACATTCTGCGTTCTTAAAGGAATACAATTATAAATTAAGAAAGAAAAATTTAATTCTATAATAACGTAATTAAAATAGAACATTAAAATATATTAAAAGAAAAAATAATAATAACACAACATATTTTGAAAAATAAACATTTTCTTACAATTTAATATTTGAAAGGTATATATATATATATATATATATATATATATATATATATATATATATATCAAAAATAATTTTAATGTATATTATAAATAATGATACGGAAACTACAACTATTGCAAAATCTGTCTTATTTAATCTTTAATGTTAACAACATTTTCATTTAGGTTTCATCGCTAAATAGATAAATTAAAACTTTATATTTATATATTTTATATTTACAGATAACAATACAGATAAAATATATATGAGAAATATGTGCGCAATTGAATATATGAAATTGAAACCTTTAGGTCAAGAGAAATATTAATTAATTAGTTAATGACAGTTTGCATTGTTTTCATTGAAAAAACAAAGCATCGCTTTATATTCAATTAATTACTTACCTTTTTATCTAATTTTTATTAAAAATTACGTCTGTTTTTTTATTGTAACCATCAATGCTTTAATAATAAATGTTTTAAAAAATGCATTTCTATTAAATTAATTGAATCGTATAATATAAATATTCTTATATAAATTACACTCTTGCAGATTTATCGATACAAGAATTTTTTAAATTGATGTGTACATTTGGGTTTTGAAATTTTCAAATTAAAATAAACATTACAGCAATAAATTAACATCTGTAGAATTAGAGTTTAAGAGACTCGGTGAAATTATATATATTTTGTAAAATATTTTATTAAGATAATAATTATATTAATTTTGAACTTTGGTATACATATTACTAAAAAAATATTATGCATATAAAGTAGCCATTTTTAATAATGTCGGATGATCAAATAAATATATAAATAATATAAAAAAAAAAAATGAAGTAAAAGTTTAATTATAAGGATAAAATGATTTATATAGTTTTAATTTTTTACGCATTATTTTTTTACTTACCATTTTTTTTGGATGTTGGTCTCCAAGAATGCGAGAAAGTATTAAAATTATATTTATTAATGTATAACCATAAAGTGATGTAAATACTATAGCCCCTTCAATATCAGTAAAATTGTTAAGAAAATTTCTTCGAATTTTAGTATCACTGAACGGATAGTCGGATAATCCTATTGCAGTAATGCAAAAAATCTAAAAATAATTTAATTCTTTAATAAGTCATTATTATTGTTTAGATTACTTATTGGAATTTATATTTCAAAATGTTTGTCATTATTTTGTTAAATATTTTAATATCTAACTTTATTTTGAGACGTAATCTTTTCAGTATTTACAATATTTATATTTTCATAAAAATTTTAATAAGTTAAGGTAGTTTAAAGTATATTTATAACTCTATTTTTAACATGTGCATATAAACGCACAAATCTGTAATTAGCATATTAGTCTATTTAAAATCATAAAAATCTAATATACGAATATTTCTTGTATTTGTAAATTTTCAGTCAATTTATAGGCACACAAACATAACGAATAGATAGAATATATAAATTATACCAATTAATGATATGAATGTTTCAATTAAATAAACAATTTATATTAAACAGTTTTTTTTTTGTAAGTTAATTTAAGTCAAACTTTTAGGTAATTACTCGTTAAGTATAAATAATTTTTACATATAATAATACAACTAAACGATGACCTTTATCAATTTGTGATTTTTTACAAAATGTTTTAATTGCGTTATTTATTTATTTATTTTTTTTTTAATAAGATGATGCAGAAGTTAATTTTTTCACTATATATCTTGAATAAATTGAAATAATTTATGCCTAAGTTGTATAATTCAATAGTTTTTATTAAATAATTTTATGGTACCATTGATGGAGATTTAATTTTTTACGATTTATTATTGCTAAGAATGTTCATATTATTTAACTATGAATTGTTCGACATTTTAAAATAATGTCAATATACTGTTTTAGTATTTTTAATTAATAAAATCATATTCGCTAATGAATTTAATTAGATGAAAATAAAATCTGTCATTATAAAATAATCAACAATTATTCAATTGACGCTAAATCTTCAAAATTGAAAATAAGCTAAAATAATTTTATCGATTTGGTTTTTTTTGGTTTTTTTTTTTTTTTTTCCAGTTATTATAGAGTGTAATATAATAATAAAAGTCCAAATGTCTTAGAGAATACATTAGCATTGAATATACCATTTTATATAAAAATTTTGTTAATTGTGTATTTTATCAACAAATTTTGTTTAAATATCAATAAACAAGATTGAAGCCTAACATAAACATTACGTAAAGATTAATGACTTATTAAAAGTACTTAAATTATAATATTTAAATATAAGATTTTATATTAATTTATTGCAGAAAGGCTTACTAGTATACATATTTATCTTGAAAAATTTTATTTCCAATATACAAAGAGCGTATTCAAATAAAGCAACTCATGATAATGATTCTGCTTCTACAAACCACTTCGATAATCTTGAAGACAAAGAAGATTGTTTTCTTCGGATCCTTTGTTACCATCTGTGTAAAATCTGTTTTAATTTTTGTAAAATTATTTGTCCTCGCACTTTCTTCGGCCATTTTTAGATTATAATATTCTTCTACGAATAAAATTCGGCGAAATATTTAATGATATATATCTGGAAAGCACAAAAATTAATCTCGTACCCTCTAGCGTAACTTTGAAGATCTGAAATACCAACTTCTTAATGTAAACGATGAGACTACCGAGCCTGTAATGAGCCCACTACAAGATCCCCACTTTTCAAGCTTTAAGTGTTTCATTTGATTCGCAATTGTCATAATTTATAATACTCGGACACCTACTTTATGTTGCGTGATGGCTCCAACACCCATATTTTATTTATCTATCCTACTGAAATGGCTAAATATTTTCAATTTGTATCGTTCGTAATGTTGTTAATTTGTTGTTAATTTTATGTGATACAGAATGTTAAATGGCCGCTTAATAGATGGATATGGATATTATAAAGTATTGTTTATTTTGCTTGTTTTCGAGGCATAATTTGTAATAATAGATTTTATTATAAATTGCTCGATTGGACTAAATGCTTTCGGAGTTGAGAAATTTTTTTTGAAAATTGTTTGAAAGTTTGTTGTATCGATTATTTAAATACATTAAGTATTGGCCATCTTGTTAGTTTTGTGCTTTTATTCGGCATTATAATATTAAAGCTTTAATTACCTACTAAAAGAAGAAGGGATACACGATTTGCATATACAGGATATTTATTTGAAAAATTTTCTTATGTGCCTTAATTGTGTATATTTATAAAAAAGAAAGAGAGAGAGAGAGAGAGAGAGAGAGAGAGAGAGAAAAGAAATGCTATGTATTATGTAAAGTAGCCGATCATTTAAAATTCGTATATAATAGACTATAAAGGCATACGCTATGTATGTAGTAAATCTCGAATGGCTTCTCGATAATTTCCTTTTCTACATTTTCTTCTTCTTTTTTTTTTTCTTTCTTTTTTTTTACAAGTGTTTTAATTCTAATTTATGAAGAATCACGTTTAAAATTTGTTCATTTAAATGACAATATATAAATCGGCAATGCTTTCGTTATAATTAAATTCATTATATTATATTCAATTGTAATTGTCTTACATTATTATTATTATTATTATTTTTTGTTAATATGCTTATTAATAGAAAATAATTGTATATACCATTATCATTCGATAAAAATTCGACTTAATTAACGACGAGCACAAACTAATAGATTTTATATATTTATAAAAATTAAAAATAATTCATTTCCAATGTACATTGTTAAATAAACTTTTTTAATAAATGAGAATTATATTCCGTAATCACGTACAATTCATTTTTGGTAAAACCATTAATAGTGAAACATTGTAATTTATACATAAGGAATTATACCGATTTAGAATTTAATGATACAAAAATGCGATGCTTAAGGTTTCGTGAATGACTGGTCAGATTACTTACATATTCAATTTGGTAATTATAGTTTTTATTGTATTTACGTATAATCTATCCTTCCTCGTGATTTGTACTTATGCTAACGTATGGAAAGTTATTTAAATCTTATATTTTGTTGTGTCTTCCATTACAAATTCGTTTCCCCACATTTTATTCAGCATTTGAAATTATTAAGAAATTAGCAGTATAAATAATAGTGTCCGTACACAGAGAGCCGCATGAACAAATCTATTAAATATTCAAATGTTTGTATTAATAAAATTACAAAATAATGTTTAGATCGTGTATAAAAATTATGAATGATTTAAAGGAACCTGAAGTAGACCACATACGAATGTTACGACATCCACCCACATTTATCTAATTGAAACTCATAGGTCTTTGCCGTTATTAATGGTGACTGTCTTTGAATTTTATTGTTCCCTTCCCTTTCATTTTTTTCGATACTTTTAATTTAATGTGCATGTCAATTGATTGATGCATTAAGTCCATTATTAAAGTTCATAGAATAATTATATTAGAGCTTATATATAATTAAATATAGTTCGGAAAAAAAAAGTTTCTATGATGTGATATAATAGCTGAAATATGTAACATCCTTAAAATATATGTCGATTAGTATACTTGATAATTACACATATTTCAAATGTTCTTTTAAATGTTACAATCACGCGTATTGAATATGCTGCTATGTTGGCTAGAACAATATTAAGACAAAATTAAAACAAAATCTAAAGAAGAAAAAAAAGTATATATATATATATATATATATATATATATATATGTGTGTGTGTGTATAGTAATGATAATTTTAATTAAGAATATGGGTATTTTGTTAAAATAAATTATTAACTTTTAAATTTATTTAATAACGGTAGTCATCGAATATTTTAAACTAAGAATACTTATTTTATTTCACTATTGACAATTATTAATATTGACATTTATCCACGCAATTATGATAAAGATTTTTTTTTTTTTTTTTTCTTCTTCTTCATTTTCTTGTGCATTTATAATGTCATTGAAATGTCGTTGAAACTTTGTAACATTTTAAATACTTATCGTCAATTTGAAAAATAATACAGTAGTGAAAAAAGAAGAAAAAAAACGTATTTTAAGAATGTTAAGCGCTTTAATCTTTTTTGCCATCTGTATACAAAAAACATTAGTTTTTTTTCTAATTGTTGCTGAAAATGTTTCTGCGATTGGTCGAGATGAACACATATTTATCTTGTGTTTATTATTATAATTTTGACAGCCTAACCTCTCAAAGTAAGCAAGATATCTGTGACACGAAATACACACGTAAGCGAGTAGTTAATACAATAAGGTTGACAGTGATATCGGGTCGCGCGAAGCGCGCGGTTGATCTAGTTTTTAAAAAAAAAAAAAAATTATAATGTTCTTATTTATATGGATAAAAAAAGTAGTCAGAACATTAAAGTACAACTTTTGTTTAACCGTTATTTTTATTTATTTATTTTATTTGTATATGTAAGTATATATATATACTGGAAGTTATATTATCAATAAATATGTAATCGTTAATAAAGGAAGAGTAAAATATTGATAACTAGTATTGGAATACACATTTCGATTTGTATTTTCTCATAGTAATAAAAGAATTTAAATAATTTTTAGCTATTTCAATGCTTCTCACACGAAATTTGTTCAAATTCTAGAATATGCTTGAAAATACAAAAACGTTGGCATTCGTATTTACCGAAGTAACTGTTTATCTAAAACAAAACCAACTATTTAATTCTGTTTTTCATGATTCAGTATTCCATGATGTTAATACTCTACCACGTGTACATTTACTCAAAGTTTAAGCAGCCTTTAGATACCGTACATTATATATTCAATATTTAATATCATTTTTAGAGAACATTTATGAACTTTTCATTATACGAGGAATTGTAATTATACGATTAAATTTGTATTTTAGTCTTTTTAATTTCTCTTAATAATATTGCCTTTTAATTGGAAACTTAAAGAAATAATTTATTTAACATACAACAACATTAATAATATTTTATTTTTTATTACATTTTCACGATTGCGAGTTTTGTAACAAAAAAAAAAAAATAATAATAAAAAAACCTTGTAAAATATATTTACCGAAAAATAAAAGTAAAAGTATACTTACGCATTCTGTATGCTAAAATTTACATTTCATGAACAGTCTTTTTAGCTTCATTTTAACAATGGGTTATCTCAATTTTATTCATTCTCTTCTAAATTGCATAATAAACATCTTTAGAAAATACTAGAAAATATTTTTGAAAACGATCGCGTGTGTTTGTGTACCGAAGATATTTGTTTTTAGAATCTCATTGCATTAACGATATTAATAGACAGTATTTCTTATTATTATTTTTTTCTTTTAAGAATTTATAAGTCGTAAAATAATTATTGTATAGGTTCAATAAATTAGTAAGATTTTTCTGAAATACTCAAATCTTACTTACGATTCAACTGCATTGAAATTTAATAGCATGAAAGATTATTTGATATTTTTATTATTACTATAAGTTATATATTGATATGTAGAATATAATTTAACATGTTAAAAACAAGTGGTAATGATAAAATGTCAATTGAAAATAATAGTTTATTGTTAGTGAGAGATCTGTATTTAATAAGTTGTTATCCGATACTAAAAACTAGAAATTTAATTCATTAATGTACTAGATTAGTACTAGAATATAATATTATATTAATTTAGAATTGAAATTGAATATAATATATTCTTTAATGTCAGAATACAATTTTAAAATTTTCAATTTTATAAATTATTTATATAATATAGATCAGTATTGATAAATTTTTTCGTTAATAAATGTTTATAATTTTTATACATAATATATTATATGTAACAAATATTATATAATTTATATACGTGACATAATCAGCAGAAATATGCAGCTTTACTATTTTATTGCATTTTTTAGTTATTGTTTAAGAATATAAAAATAGTTTAAGAAATCTATTATCTTCAAATTTTTAATTCATATTAAATATGATTCAAATTTGAAGGAAGTTTGTTTATTTTTTTTTAATTTAAATTAATTCTATTTTTTTTAAATGTTTTCTATTATAATATAATTCAAGAAATATTACAATTAAAGATTTTGGTGTACTTTCTGTTTCGATATAAATTGTTTCGAATATTATTGTAATAAATTGCAATTAGCCAAGTACAGCGGTAAATTATTTCATCGTTACAAGCAGACAAATTAAATATGGGCACTACAATTTTTGTTTAAAGTTTGTACGTGCCAATCAGTTGGTATAGTATATTTATTGCGATTTGAACATACAGTGAAAAATATAATTACAATCAGTCTAAATCATGGGTTAGTGTATACGTTTAGAATACATTTATAAGTATTTGATAATACATATTCTTTCAAGTCTAATCTATGATGTAAATTTTTCTCGTACTTATCATTTTATCAGTATGTATAGAAAAGTGGCGTTAATATTTAAATCAGCAGAATATAAATATCCAAGGCAACATTATTATATTAACTTGATATTTTAGTGTAAAAAATTGTGTCGTTTTAACTCAATCATTACAGTTATTTTAATAAAGGCCATTTAAGCCTTATCTCGAGGAGGACATAATTAATCGTTCTCTGGCTTTTTCTATTTTGCCCTTGAAATATTTAACAATATATGCAATGGTATATTATTAAAAAAATTTCTCGTTACATAGATAATTATTGTTGTTTTTTCCCTCTCTCTCTCTCTCTCTCTCTCTCTCTCTCTCTCTCTCTCTCTCTCATAGCGGACAATTTTAGGAAAATCCTTTTGCCTCGTGTCTCAGTTGCGCTTTAACAAGTATTGAAAATAAAAATAACGATTTATTGTTTGTAAAGCGGCATAGTCGGTAGAACAAAGTAACGCATGAATTTCGGGTGAGGCCTTGAAGCTCTCAAGTTACGATGTAGAAATGTAATCCCCTCGTAGATACGCAACTAAATAATTCATTAAATATTCAGTGCCGCCTGCGGTATTATATAGCCACGGCTAATTTTACAATGGGGCTACTATGGAGCAGCGCTCGATTAAAAAAATAATCACCAAACTTTTGTGTTTCCGCGCAGAATATCCGACGGGGGCGAGCAAGCGGTCGTCTTGACACTTGTTAAGACCGCGTCGAGCTTGCAGGGTCTGACATCTGCTCGAACGGACTTCCGCTCAAAGCCTGAAAGCAATGGCTCCGCGGGCGTGGCCTCCGGCGAGCAAGGGATCGACGAGGATCTCATCGGCATATCGAAGCTACTCAAGGGCAATGAGAGCACGACCAATGAGACGGGCTTCTACGAGGACAATGCCGATAGTGTCGTGGTCGTCAGGGCCAAACAGAAGAGCCCTTCGAGCATTAAGTTGGAGTTGGATCTTGAGGTGGAGAAGCAGCAGCCCGATGAGCTTACACGTCAAAATGTACGTAAAAGTCTTTAGTTTAAGTACCGATAAAATCCACATCTTATCAGTCACAGCGATGAAATTCCGTTCTTTAGCATAGTTAGTACAGTGACGTAGAAGTTCACGGCGTAGCGGTTAACTCGATTTATAATTTGATGCTTTGCGTGTACGTAACGAAAGTATTGATTCCGGTGGCGTTTGTTATTTTATGAGCACTGCTTATTTAAATGTTTGTCGAATTTGTACAGCTAAGCTCTTTATAACGATAATTCCAGGAGAAAATTGAGAGTACAGTGGGTGAAAAATATGCTTGCGATTAGAAATTCTCAAGCTCGAAAGAGTTCATTTATTTTTTTACATTTTTTCATTATTTCCTCTCGTTACATCTTAAATTAATAGTAAGTCAAATTTCATCCCCTAAAATTGATTTAATAATTATTTAAACAATATTTATTTTACAATAATTATTTTAACAAATTCATTTGTAACGAAGAAAATTAACGAAAATGCAAAATTTCACGGTCATTAAAATTATCATCTTAAACGATTCATGCTCGATTCATAATCGTTTAATTGCGCTCTTTAATTCTCTGGAATGTAATAATATCATGTATCAATAATCTCTCGAATCTTCAATTGCAAATATGAGAAATGAAAATTTTTCATAATTTATTGCTAAATCTTTTTCTAGATAAATAATCGGGCACTTTACTCTTATTGCGGAATATTTAATGCAACATTTATTAACGATTAATGATACGTCGAATTAATGTAAATAAATTTTTATTAATAAAACTCTACGTATTAGATCTTATTTATTCGCGTTGTTTTCAAACATTGATGTGCGCTTTACCGAAACTGAATAGAATTTTTATTGTTCATGATTTGCAGGATTTGGTGTGTATCGAGCTTAAGCATTTATTTAGCAAATGTGTCACGCATTAATAATGATTTACTAATATGTTTGAGGAATTCTGTTAAGTTGAAATAAAAATATTTCCTTTTATACACGAAAGCATTTTTAATAACATACAAATATAAGTTTCATTGTCAAAAGCAAGTGCAATATATATAATATTGTATACAAAGAAAGTTAATGCACTTACGTGAGCGTTTCACACTAAAGACGAATAAACGTTTACATTAAATAATCGTATTACCTCGACATTATCATAAAACTAGTCCCAAACGAATCGTTCAGTATTATTTGTTATATAAAGTATTACAAGATTCCTCGGCTAGAAGGAAAACGTTTATTTATTATCGCAAATACTTTAATAAGCAATCTCTTTAGAACTGAAAAATAATCATCTCCGTCGTTACCTTAATTATTGTTATTATTTATTGGCCCGTGTGTGAATTAGGATGAGGAGACGGAAGAGGGGGAACCTATCCAGCAAATACAAAATAATAGCCCAACAGCAGCGCCGGATCTAAACGACAGCGCCGCAAGGGCGAGACTCACCGGAAGTGTGGACGATAACGCAGCCGTGATTCTCGATAGCATCGTCACCGCTGGTCCGAGTGACGTAACGCACGAAGAAATACCCTCTTTCAACGAATGGGCACAGAAGAGACTGGAAGAAGTGGAAAAAAAGAAGGGTGAGGCGCTTCTATTGCCGTACCCGTAGAGAAAATTTTCAGCCATTTTTTAATCGAATGCCTATTTTAAAGTAAAAAAAGTTAAACCTTTCCTTAACGTTCCTCTCACTACGCTCATAAGTATTGGCAAATTGGAACAATTAAACCAGTCTCCAATGCCATCAATTTGCGCGCTTTACAAACTTAATCGTTTCAATTTTATTTAGTGCTTGCTTGCTTGTTTGCTTGTTTGCTTGCTTGCTTGCTTGCTTGCTTGCTTAAGCACGATATTGCGATCGATAAATTTTATCACGATTCATTGTATTTTATAAATGTTTACTCGTTTATGCTAATCTAAAAATACATTGTATAAGGTTTGGTGCAGTAACAAATCTGCATATCGTACGTGCATGTGCGGGCAATGCCGAGTTTAAGAAAATTCACTATATATTTGCATTTTACTAATTGAAAAATGAAAATTCATCTACAAATTAATACTATCTTTTATGATTTATAACATACTTATTTAAGTAATAGTTTACATTCATTATACATGCCGCCCATGGTATCCATTTACATACTTTTTTTGGTAATCCTTTTCACCCAATCGATTTAAAATAACGAATCCTATATACTCAAAATGTCCGTAACGACATTATTTTTTTATTAAAAATATATTTAACTCACTATAAGAAAAATATAATAGCGGTTTGCTTCAATTTATTTTAATTTTAAATGAAATATAATGCGACTTCTTAAAAATTGTACTTTCAAATTAATTATTTATTAATATGGTAATTCGTGATTCTACACAAAATATTAATAAGACTTTTCAGAACGAGATATCAATCTATTTTTTATATCAAGATAAGGAATTGTTGTAACAGCTGTTGCAATAATAGGCTTTGCTTTTACTTATCAAAACAATAAAAACTTATCATTGCTTCGTGGATAAAAAATAATAGCCGAGCATAAGAAAGTAGACTTTTGAACTTTATTAAATTTTAATACACGAGCGAAGAAAATAATTAATTTTTTTATTTTTATTTACATTCCGTAGATATTGAAATAAATGAATAAATAAGTCGCTATAAAAAAAGGGACTATCGTCGGCTGATAAATTACGATTTTACAAGCTTGTGAGTTGAAGATTTCCCCAATAAAAATTCGTAACATGAAACATCGTAATGTTGATTAAAAAAAAAAAACAATTAAAGTAATAATAATATGCCTCGATGGTTATTTATAATTTCTACGAAGCCAAAATATATCAACCGCACGGCAATTCACACTTCCCTTGCTCTTCAAAAAGCAGCATCCCCCCCCTCCTCCTCCTCTTATTTTTAAAACATACGTCGATTTGTATTAGAGAAGGAACGACGCAGGTCTAATAAATTCATTTTTCCATATCAAAGTCATTTAAAAATTAAGAATTCGAGGATAAATTAGATTTGGCGAAATAAGCATTGAAGTAAAAATTCGGATAATAATTTGTAATCGAGTTATTTAAGCATTCAATAAGCATTGGAGTAAAAATTCGAATAATAATTTGTAATCATTGATATAAATAATTCATTGATAAGCGCTAGAGCAAATGATTAATGGTCGTCCTCCTTATTTTTATTATTAATATCCTTATTACTACTTTCAGCTCATCCAAATGCGTCGGTGCAAACGGCGAACGGTTCTCCGGGTCGTAACCTCGGCAACATCCGGATGCGCTCCAAGAATTATGCGTCGCCAGATTGTGGCGCAAAGATCGTCGCTGCGAATCCAGAGTCACGTAGTGCCCGGAGTATCCTCGTATCCACTCGTGACGAATATATGCTGAATACTTGCACGAGTCGCGTGTGGTTCGTCGTCGAGCTCTGCGAAGCCATACAAGCCAAGAAGATCGAATTGGGTATTTTCACCAATTATTGCTATTTAGCATTATTGAATTATTTGGGGTTTATTTGCCAATTTACCTTTGTTAACTGTTGATTTTTATTGGATTTGGAGAGGCGTTATGTTATGTAAGGGATGATGACGCAACAATGAAAAATAGTAGCACTTCACGACAATAAGATTTGTGACGAAATAATAAATTTTCATGTCAATTATCCCATAAGTTTGTGCATAAGGCAATCGAAGCTTTAATGATAATTTTCATGTAAATATGTTTAATTATTTTTTTTTTCATTGGTTTAGCGAACTTCGAGCTCTTCAGCTCCTCGCCAAAGGACTTGTCGGTTTACGTAAGCGATCGCTTTTCCACTCGTGGTGATTGGTCGATTGTGGGCCAGTTTACAGCCCGCGATGAAAGAGATGTGCAAAGCTTTTCACTGCAGCCACATCTTTTTGGAAAGTTTATCAAAGTGGAGTTGCATTCGCATTACGGATCCGAGCACTTTTGTCCGATATCGTTATTTCGGGCTTATGGAACGAGCGAGTTTGAGGTACTGGAAACCGAGACTGAGACGGAGTTACACGATGATAATCACGGACACGAATCCAATACTAGAGGTCTTTATTCATTAAATTTATTTAATTGAATCAATGAATTTATGACTTGTTAATTGTAAGTTCTTTCGTAAGTAAATTTTATTTTGCAACGCGAAACCCAATATGGAGTTTTAATATTAACTATTTTTTTTTTTTTTTTTTTTTTTTTTTTTTTTTTTTTTTATTATTATTATTAGTATTTTATTAGTATATTATCATTATGATCTTATTTAAGAAAATTTTAAATGAAATCATCATTAAATTGTCTCGTAACATCATTTAAATTGCATAGACTGTATTTGTACGGTCTGGATTGCAATGTTTAAATCTATAAAGAAATTATAGACTAATGGTTGCTTGTTAAAATGATAAATCTTGATTTTGCAAATCAACGATTGTATGTAATTATTATAAATGCTTGTAACGTTGATATCTCGTATATTACATTTATATTTAGTTCGGTATTATAATTTATAATTAATTGACGTAGTGAGCACGTTGCATTATTACATTCTTGAAAAAGAAATAATTATTGAAATAATTCCTAAAAATATTGAAATTAAGATGTATAAGAGACATTTAATGGCAGTTTACTCTTCAACAATTAATTCATTGTATGAAAAACAGATTTTAAGACGGTAGAATTTGTAATTGATTGTGTATAAATTTATGAAGGATAAATATAAAGATTTTGATGTATCGATTTCTTTTAACTAATAGCCCAATAGTAACGGTTATTTTTGTCATTACAATGTCACATTTATTTACGTATATTGAAAAAAAAAATCTTAATACATTGTCGTCTTACGTTATAAATTATCCGTTTTAAATACATTTAAATACCAGTACATAAATATTCTGAAATATTTCACATAGTAATAAATATAATCAAATGAAATTAAAAAAATGGTTTAGTAAAATTTATATATTTATAGGTAAAATCGACGCAAGCTCGGACGCGGAGAGTGAAGATGACGACGATGAGGATGCTGTATTTGAGGATGAGGAGGATAGTACGAGTGATCGACGAGGTCATCTTTTTGGTAGCGCTCGTGATGCTGTGATAAGTATTGTTAAAAAGGCTGCCGAAGTATTGGTAAAAAACGATGATTTAAAGTCTGACAATGAAACTAACACTCAAGAAAACCAAAGTAATGATGTACTTAATGATGCAACTATTAACGACTGCATGACACCTGCGTACAACATAATTTGTCCCGAATGCGACGATGACAATCATTTCTCGCGGATCTTTCAGCTGATCAGCTGCAGGCGACCTTACTTTGAATCACTGTTGAATGCAGCTTTCGTCAGGCAGATTCTTAGCAGAAGTCATTTGTGCTATGGTACTTTTGAATAAAATACTTTTCACAATAATGGAATTTGTATTGATGATAGCTATAATATAGTTGAAGGCAAATGTAATTTTCTTATCTATTTGAGTGGTAAAAGAACATATTTTATTGAAACTTTGTTTACGGTATCGACATCAATATTTTTATATAATGCTTATCATTGACAATTACAAATTTGAGTTTTTAATTTTTACTTATCAACTGTCCGTTTGAATATTAAGACCAATTTGAAATCGTTTCATACAATTAATATTTATATAAAATGTTTTTCTTCGAATATTAATCTTTTAATAATGTAAATGGATCATTAAGAGAAGCGCTAAAACATCAAATTTAATGCCGAAATGAATTTTATTAATATTTTAATGTTATATACAATATGTCGATAAGTTTTGTTAATGCCAAGTTGTGGTTTAAATCGTTTCTAGTTTATTATTCAAGATCAATTTTATCTAGTTTTGGATTGAAAATTTCAATTTATAATTAAAAGAATTATTAGATGAATTGAAGAGTCCTTTTTTCGGCAATATCGTGCTACATTGATTGTAACTATATTAACATTTATAATGAATTGCTTAAATGGATATTTTATGGATATAAAATTAGTTTGCACTCAATACTTTCGAGCTTCCTACAAATGTCGCGTACAAAATTGAAAATTATCTTTTTAAATTTTGGCCTTATATTGCAGATACTGAGGGTAGAAAGAATAAAAACTATGACGTTCAAGCCCAGTTGTTCTCGTTATTTTTCACTTCTGATTACATAATAGTTTTATGCAACGTCTTAGCAGTAAAAGAAAATAGATTACCCATGAATATGACTCGAGGAGATCAACAAATGACCAACAGAGTACCAAATGAGACACGAATGGAGCAAAACAGCGAAATGCTATTAACCACCAAAGACGAGAGATTCGCGTCGACACGTCCTATAGATGTTGTAGCGAGCTTCGACAGTGATAAAACCAAAGTACAAATACCTGTGATAAAATCGAAAGTTGAAGCGGCAACAGAAAGTCAAACAATCGAGAACTTTGCGACGCAGGTACATTTAATCATTTATTTATAATATAAATTATGAAACGAATATTTGAAATTTTAATTCTAAATTTAAGGTGTATAAAAATATCAAATGTTGATCATTATGATGTTGATAAAAACAATATTTACAGAAATATATCACCATTTATTAAAATGAATATATAGATTTACGTATTACTGATTTACAAGATATCTTTATAAAATTAAATTTATAATATTAGAAAAATATTTATACAATATCATCAGCATTGTAGTTAATATATTTATATTGTGGTACCGTTTTATAAGAAACGTATTAAAGCTTATATATATATCTGGTGTAAAACACAAGTTTTATTACCATTAATTTGAAGAATATTTTAGAAAGAAGAATAATTATTTGCTAAATATCAAAATCTGAAGTTTAATCGCTACGTTATTTTGGCAACGTTATCAACGTACTTTCAGTATTATAATTATTTTATTTTAAATGTACGTCTAAATATTTTATAAAATTTAATTAAGATTAAAGGGATTGTATATAAATGAAAAATCGAATGAAAAGATACGACGAGTAAGAAAAAAGAGCTTCACTAGGTCAAAATGAAATTTAGAGCCTTTCTTCTATAATACCACATTCTAATGGAACTATCTAGAAAATCAACATTGACATAAAATTCCATTTAAATGATATTTAAGACATTCAATAAATACAAAAATATTTGCATTCTTTATAATGCCCATTTGTATACATTGATTTGCAGATAAAGCCGACCAAAACAACTGTTTTGAATGATGAAGTAAAGAAACAGTCTTTCGATACGAATCTTGAATCCAGTAGAAGTCAACAGTCCGAAGATTATGAAATATATCAATATGAAAACTCAATAACAACGGAGTCGCCTGTACCTGTTGTTACTAAACGAATCTCTATTAATTCGCCAAAAACATCGTCGGGATCACAAGAGCACGTTCAGGTAGGGTTTAAGAATAAATTAATTTTTTATTGTAAATTTTAATGTAAATGAAAAACACAATAGATATTATGCTTTATGTCTAGGTAATATTTTTAAATATAATATTTTTATTATAAAATAATCAAATTCGTATAGTTCAAAAAAATTTTTTCATATCATACTACATTTTCTTGTACACAAGAAAAACTTTAATATCTAAATGCACGTTTCAGCACCTAATCACATTCAGCAGCCTATTTTAATCGAGTTTATTAAATTTTGTCTTTATAACATAGAATTGTCATAGAAAAATCTATCATTATTTTAATTGGTTTATCCATGTTTTTACAAAAGTGCTCTCAGGAAGGAGCTTCGCAGCAGGATGTTGCAATTTTAGGAACAGTATCCAAGTCATCCCAAAGCTTAGATAGTACTCAGAAATTAAACCAAAAAAGCGGAAATATTGAATTGGGTGAAATGGAATCGGAAAGTGTGGAAGAAGCGGAACAAAAGTTAAAAGTGGATCAAACGGATCAGGACTCTAAAACAATTATGCAGGATCAACTGAACTTCGAAGGTTTCGATTTTAAGGATCTGGATGTGGAGAGTTTACAAAATAATGGGGCAGCTAAAAATGATGCTTCTATCACTCAGCAAACAGCCAGTGCTACAACGCCACAGCAGAAGGAGTCTGTTTTTCTACGATTATCCAATAGAATTAAAGTAAGGATTATCATTAGCTTCGAAATAGGAGTGAATTTTTATTGTTAATTTTGATTATGAAAAATCATTGCTTGTTATAAGTTTTTATTATTAGCTGTAAATGATGACAGTCCATTTATTAATGTATTGTTATTTTTATTTATTTATTTGTTTGTTTGTTTGTTTGTTTTTTTTTTTCAGGCACTGGAGCGTAATATGTCTTTGAGTAGTCAATATCTGGAGGAGTTGAGCCGTCGGTACAAGAAACAAGTCGAGGAGATGCAACGTTCTCTCGAGCGAGCAATGACTGCTATGAACGAAGAGACGCGTAAAGGTGACGAACGAGAGTATAAACGCCTCGAAGAAGTCACTGTTCTACATAATCAGATTGACAGTCTGGGGAAAGTTCTAGATGACCTGATCTATGAGCGCAACAGTTGGCGCATTAGCTTTTCATCATTAATGCAGCACGCATTATTTGTTTTCGTTGATGTAATTCTGGTCATTCTCATATTTTCTTATTGTAAACGTACGGATAATGATCTGGATTATTTGGGTGAGGAAGAAAGCGAGCAGACTATTGTAATAAAACGGCCGCGTGGGACAAATTATGAAATGGCAAAACAACAGTGTACCCAATTGACGAAGAAACCGAAGAAACGGAGACCTAGCGAGATAGCCTCCCAAGTTTGTTTCTTACAATTATTAATTAATATTTTTAAAAGTGAAAAGCATTGTTTTTAATTTAAATAGCATTAAGAAAACTTCCCAATTGAATGAATGTCATATTTGAAATTTAAAGAATGTAAGGATTCTAATATTCAACCATTATATATATATATATATATATATATATATATATAATATAAAAATATACCATTAATATTGAAAATATTTTTCATATTCTTGTTATTATTTAATTGATGAATAAGTATGTTAGAGCATTTAACATTAAATTGATGGACAATAATCGGACGATATTTTATTATATAGATAAGTATCTAATGTAAGATCTTTTTAATAGGTTTCCGGTACTTATGATCAATTAATGATCGAGGACTCGATATCGATTAATCAATTATCAAGGAGGGATAGGCGAAAGAAACGAAAGAAGGATTCTATTATATTAAGAACTTCCTCGATTAAAGAAACTAATAGTAATGGCAAGGGTGATGGAGATTTCACAAGTATATCGACGTTGCCTTCAAGAAGTTCCTCGGCCAACGATGCACTTTACACGATTAACCACGCTGACGATGAAGTTTATTTCGCAAAAGAATCGCATAAGTATGGAAGACCTGGATCAGCGCCCGATAATTCTATCGATTACTTCAGTAATCCATTACAAAATCAACAAATACAGTACGATGGGAAAGTGCAGACTATTAATATGGATGAGAATCATGACGAAACTAGCAACGGCAATGATATGGTGTCACTCGGTTCACAAGTATTGGAATCCACAGTACTTGAGGATGATTTATTTATACAGGTAAACGTTATTAAATGGCTCGATTATTCATTATTATATTTGATTAGAATATTCAGTATTGAATTTGATAAGAATAAAAAATAAAAAATAACGAAAATAAGAATTTGTCGGTAATAGTTGAAACCAAAATATCATTAAATTGAATATTAGAATTAAAAATTAATAATAATAATAATAATCGCTCACTTATAATCAAAGGTAGAATAAAAAATAATACCATTTTTGCATTGATTGTTTGATTACAAAATTTTTGATTTTAAAGAAACAAATATATAAAATTCGTTATTTAATTGTGCATATTAATGTTTCGCGGTAATATTTTAAAAAATATTACTAACCGCATATTATTAATTTGTGAAAAGTATAATCAAAATGTTAGCTACATTTTAAAATTATAAATTTATATAATATAGATAATAATAGATATATATATATATATATATATATATATATATATAATAATAATAATAATAATAATAATAACAACAATAATTGGAGATAACTATTAAAAGATGAAACAAGTGTGAAGCAAATCGTAATTTACATTTTTATAATCAGGTCGAGTGTAGTCCAAGCAAAAATTTCATCAAACCAAAAAAATTATCATCTCCGTCATTCATAAAAACAGCCTTAGCTTCAAGAAGTAAACGAATATCTTTTTCGGGAGGTAGTAAAAAGAAACAATCTCAGAGCTCAGATAATAATTTAATTAAATCCCCGAACGATAAGAGATGTGATGGAAAAATCGATTTGATGGCCGAGTTAGAAAATAGTAACGATGCTGTCGATGAGCACAATAACGGACGTACAACAAACGGCCATGTAGAGGAGAGTGACGAATCAAGAAGTAGCAGTGCAACTCCAACAGCGAACTGGAACAAGAAAGAAAAGAAAAGTAACGGTTTGAAGAAAATGGTGAGAAAGTTCTTTTGATTGAAGTAGAAAGAGCTTGTATTTAATAGTTATGCGAAGACTGAATATATCTATCAAGTACTTTTCGAGTACATAGACATTTGCCTGCGTAGTTCTTTATTATGCAAGATAATGTAGAAATGATGATAATGACGCCAACGACAATGATTGTGCAAGTGAAAAAAGATTGACGCTGTTTCGAAAACTTGGTAGTGTTTTGGATTCATAAAAAAAATTTTGTTAGTTTTTTTTTTTTTTTTTTTTTTTTTTTTTTTTTTTTTTTTTTTTTTTAATGAAAGAATATCTTCTTTTGGTTTTATGCGAATATTTTATTTCTTATTATTTGTTTCATTGATACGATAATGCCAAAAACAAAGTACGTGCACTCGTTTTTGCTTATAGCATAAGTATTTAATTTATTTAGTTAAAAAATATATTAGAATATATAGTAAATTGATTAAATATTAAAATAAACCAGTCTTTTTTTTTAATATGTATTAAATTTATTCTATTAATTAATATTTCGAATGCATTTTTAACATGTAAAAGTGTGAATAAATTGTTATTCAAAATTATTACAACAATTTCCATAAGTGATATTATAATATTTTGAGCTTCTAATTCTAATCCTTATTATCGAAACAATTATAGGAACGTTTCTTAATACTTTTATGCATTAATAGATTTTATTTGTTTATACACAAAGCCACGATAACAATATGTATATTGCAATTTTATCAAAATGCCATTATTTCCCATAGAAAAGGAGATTGTATTTATAAAAATTATTATATTTGATTCTTTGGATTTTGTTTCGATTATGAAATAAATAATACAGTAATTAGCATGTAATTGAATTTTATGTAACAATTAAATGTAATAATTAAATTTTTTAAATAATAGAATATACTGTACGCAAAAAATTTATGTTAAAGCACAACAATTATTTAGTAGCTCTGTATATTGGAATGGCATTAAAGAAGTTAGACTCTATTAAACGGTCCCAGTGATGTAATTGTAGCATTTTGTTTTTTTTATTTAATAATATTGATACTATTGAATGTAAAAAATCAGTGATATAATAAGTGTTCAGGTGACAGGTATAAGTAAATTATTTTAACTAGTCATTGCTTGAAAGGTCAAAATTCATAAATAATCTTATTTGGAATGAGCAAAATACTTACATATTTTATAATTAAAATTTAGTCAAATGTTCTATTCATTGCCTAATACTTTGAAAATCCTTTTAAATATCTCGGAGAGAATATTTCTTTATATTTTCATATGGTTTCTTTTATTTTGTCGTTACAGAACATACGGCTCTATGTTATGTTACATAATAGATATTTTGGATAATAGTAATAATAATAATAATAATAATATAGAAATATCTTTGCATATGCTTTATGCTTGATAGATGAAAAATAATTTAAAATTCTTCATTTATAATTATTATGAATATTAACTGAGTGAAAGTTACTTTGCCATATATTATATTCCATTTAATGTTTTAAATATTAATAGTTAATTTTGCTGTTTTTGTAATTTTGAAATATTACCAAATATTTATTTTTTTTATTTTATTAGTGGATATTTTCATAAAAATTCAGATTTATAAGATATTAGCATATTTATTTACTGCAATTTAATTAAAATTTATTTAAGTTTGAATTACTGACGGAGCATATATTATGGAAAATTAAAGAACAAACAAGAATATTTTGCTATTTTATGTATATTTTTATGATCTTATATTGAATGGACAAAGTTGATTAAGTTGTTAATAATAAAATAGTATAATAGTAATAAAAATGTCACTTTATCATTGAAAATTCCTTTCATTTCAATACTATTGATTACGAATCAATTCTTTAAATACAGAAGACTAACTTATCGATTTTTAATATTTTTAAAGTACCGTTGCTTTTGAAAAGTCAATTTTTATTATTTCTAAGTACTTGCAATTCATAAAATTAAATATTAATACTTGCAATGAATTATAGAATTTGTTAAAATATAACAGAATTTTGAATATTTTTATACTTACGTACAATTACAAATAATCATTATAAACAGTTATACTTTGATGTAAGAATAGTTTATTCCCTGTTCAGGATTTATTTCATAATAATTGCAATAATCCATATGCACAAGTTAACACATAATTTCTCTTTATAACTATTATTCAAATGCGAACACAAAAATTATTAGCTTCCAAAAATTTTTAAATTATTTTCCTAAAATTGCCAAATTTAAAAAAAAAAAATTTTTAAGTTTATATTTCTATTTAATAAATTTCTTATTCGATTATTTTAACAATAAGTTATGGAATAGTATTTTAAGAAGTCGGTTAGAAATATGTAAAACCACTTAAAACTAGTAAAAAATTTAATTCTATGGAATTAAGCGTAAATATCCGGTATAAAACCAAAAAAAGATTGCTTGTAATCATATATATATAATTACAAATGCTTAATAAATGAATTGTGAATTCTTTAAGTGCACTGAGTATTTTTGTCATCTATAATTTTATTACAGTAAGTAATGAAATAATTTACTATTGAATTATTAGCAATAAAATTTACTTTAATAATATTGTCAATTTTAAGAAAATTGAACCATATCAACAAAATTTTATTATATCTATTTCTATATAAATCTGTGCATGTATAAAGTACGTATTCTTGAATCTATGATATTTACATATTTAGTGCCATTTTCTATGTATCAATGAAACAAAATAACGATTTTGAATTAGTTAAAAACAAATAATTAATCGTTAATAAATGCTTGAAATTGTAGTTTGCTTTACCATATTAAGACAAATTTTATTAAGATTAAATTTAGCTAAGGTGAATTATTTACTGAAACTTGAAGTTATACTTAAATAAAAAAAGGTCAAATATTCACATTTGTACAATTATAATACTTAAATTATTCTTTAAAGTCATTGATATTCGATTTTTAAAGATTTTATAAATTTTACATAAATATATTGCATAAGGCGTTGTCTTTTTAATAATACTTTAATTATTAAATGTGTCGAGTTCTAAATATTTGATTTTGTATAACTTTAACAAAATAAAATGTACAAGTAGCATTTATGTTAAAGCTGAAAATAGAAAATTTATCTTTTATCTAGTAAATTCTAAGTAATAGAAAAATTTTCAATTTACAAAAAGTTTCAGTGATTTAAATCCTTTTGCTTGGAAGATGAAGTAATCTTCATGTGATTTAATTTAATAGCTTTGTTATTTATTAATTATAAATTGTTTTGAATACATGATTTTTAGCAATTTGTCGAATTGTACTTTTTAGATGAAGACTACTTTATACAGCTAAAAGCAATGCCTTGTTGAATGGACAAGCTGCTTAAATTATTTAAAATATAAAAAATTTATAACGATTCTCTTTTATAATATTTAACTTTCAGAGTCATCAAAGAACATGAAACTAACCATTTATAAGAAATTTTAAACCTATAAGAAAAATATAAAAAAATAATATCAAGAATATTTATTAATTTTATTAAAGAATGTGATTGCATTATATTTATGTTTATAATGTAAAAAATAAAATGTAAAATAATGGAAGATTCTCAGGTATTTGTAACGTGTTAAGTACAGCGTTAAAATGAAATTAATTTAAACCTACTCATAAGTTTTTATAAACAAGAATTAAAAACTTTTACAAAAAATGTTTATGGTTTGACTTTATAATACAAGATTTCTTAACAGAATAAATGAAAAGTTAAAACAAGATAGAAGATAATGTAGTGTTTTATCGTTGTTTTACACAGCTTCTGTTTTACAATGTTGGTATATTAAAATACTTTGTAAAAGTTTTCTGTGATAAATCACATAAATGTATAAGTACATAAATAAATAAGCGATGCTAAGTTGTAATAACTAGTAAGTAGCTTAAGGATAACGGAATATAACAAAATAATTTGGATGTTGCTGTCTTTGCATTTAAAGAAAAATTATTATTAATTTGTGTGAATAGTTTTAGATTAAAAATGTAGTGTTTGAGATTTGAGTGATAAATATTTGTTAAGATAATTGTGAAGCAAAGAAGGTAGTAATAAAGAAATGATAAATAAACTGGTTGACTTTGAGCAAAATGCTATGTATATTGTATTCTGTTTGCCAAAGTTGTCTGTGTGTTTGTGCTACATATTAATATGTAAAAAATGTTCTACAAGAATTTCCTTTTACATTTTATCGCAAACTCATCAATAGTAGCTAAAATAATTTGGTACATTGCAATAAAAAATATACTTATGATTTTGTAATAAAAAATATGCCTATTTATTTAAAATGTTGCATTAAATTAATTTTATATATATATATATATATATATATATATATTTGTATCTTAATTAATTTATTTTTGCATTTATTATAATGTGTAACATATTTAAATTCAGTATTTCTATCATACTAATAAATAAAACTTTAAATAAAAAATGAGTTAACTAAGAATAGAATAAAGAGGTTTTTGAATTTCATTTATGAGAGTTACTTTTTGAATATTTTTATGAAATTAAGCATAAATAAATTGGTGTGTAAGGTATGATTATCTTTGGGGGGGAATCTTTCATTAAGCATCACCAATAAAGATATTTCTCTGTACTAAACAAAAACGAAGATACATCTTCCTAATATATCTATTTAAAATTTTTACTCTTATAAATAAAAATGTACGCACATATTATAATAATAATTATTATAGAAATCTTAGAATAATATATTAGTTCTATTATTCATACCAAATGAAGTTTCAGAGAATATGAAACTAAAAATGTATATATTAAGAATAAACATTGTGTATCATATTTTGTAACAAAGATTCTTTTTAAGTATAATTTATTATTATTTCGTTTAAAAATATTAAGTATTTAAAATTTATTAAAAAGCGAAAAGTAAGCTTTTTAAAACGAAAGTAGTAAAATGAAATGGTTTATATAACGGCTTAAAAATATAAAATAAATAATATCGAATCAAATATATAATATTAATTATTTATTAACTTAATAGTTAATTATTTAATTAACTTTGTAAAACAAAATGCCTTTTTAAACATTTAGTTTAAATTTTATTAAGTACTTAAAAATGTTTGTTAATATTTAGTTACCAATTACACTTTTTATTGTAAAAAACTTTTATTGCCAAGCATTGTGCTAATGTTTAATTAAAATTTAAAAAATAGTTTTTCTATAATTTAATTCGATACTAAATTTCTATTATACTTTATATTTATTTAAATCCTATATTTTGTTATTAGCTGACAAATATTTTTCTTATAATAATTGAATTCGTTAAAATAATTTATTTATTTAATTAGTAAAGAATGAATTCATCTAATACAAAGAGAAATATGTTGCGACAGTTTATTTTTGTCTTTACAAATATTTTGTTAAAAATATTTTCATAATGTAATATAATAAATTGTATTTATATAATGCATTTCTTGAATCGGTACAATACTAAACTAAAAATATATAAATTGAATATTAAATACTATTATGGATTATTAAACATAGAAAAATACCATTTACTATCTAATAGTCCATTTACTAATAACGATTATCCATACTATTTTTATTAAAGTATGGAAGTTTCTTTTATTATTGAATAATTACTTATATTTTTAATTTATATACATTAATTAAAGATATTTTAGTATTTAAAATAATGTTCACAAGTGTTTTTTTAAATGCTTTACATTTAACTTTCAAGTTTTAAATTATCTAGCACCGAGGAAATTTCAAAAATTTCTTCTACAGCAGAATCGTTTGATTTCACTTGTTTATTAAGCTCTTCAGCAGATTCTAGCACCATGTTTTTCCAAATTTGAAAATCTTTTTCATTTTTATAACAAAAAATTATTTCATTGATATCTTCATTTAATTTGTAAGATGCTACAAATTTATAGATTTTTCGAAAGTCATTTAAAACTTCGTTACGAATTTTTTCATTTCTTGCAACAAGATTCACAATAATTAAACCGTCATTAGTCAAACAATTATTGATCGTTCTTAGAAAATCAAGTTCAACAAATTCTTTTGGTGGACAACTCATACCCACAGTTGCATCTTTATTATCAACATCAAATAGTATTGCATCATACTTTTTCCCTTGCATTCTACTTTTATTTAAATATTCTATTCCATCACTAATTTCAACTTTTAATCTTTCATCTTCGACTAAATCAAAGTATTCTTTTGCTATTTTCAATATCGTTTTATCTATTTCAACAGCTATTATTTTTGTCTAAAATATAACATATAAATGCATGTTTGATAGTTACTATGAATCAAATTAAATTATTATTAAAAAATATTTAAATAAATTAATGGTAAAAATTTAATATTAACATTTTTTTTATATTTTTACTATGTTGAAAATACCTGTGGAATGCAGTGACGAATAAATGTACATAATCCACCACCACCAAGACCAATGATAATACTTTCTCCTACGTTTGAATTCTTTAAAGCAATTTTTAATCCAAGAGACATGTAGAGATGATGATTGCAAGCAAGATAATATGGATCTACTACGCACTTACTCTTCTTTCTTCTGGACATAACTGTTTAAATTAATTATAATGTATATCCTAATATTGAAGAATTATGTTGAAATTATTTATATTTGTACCTTGTTTTAATTTAACTTCACTTTGAATAACAAACAGATTATTCAAAAAGATTAATCTTCTATATAAGCAATTTTCATTTTCAATTTCTTCAACGACAAATGGCCCACTTATGTCACTATTACCTTCGTAGCAAATATTTCTTTTTCCGATATCTGAACCTAATGATAAGAAAGGAATGTGATTTTTTGATAGTTCAGAAGGTGCAAACATCTTGATACTTTCTGCGAGTTCATCTTTCACTTTTTCAAGAGTTTCAAAATTCTGCCCTCTTTGAAAAATAACAATAGCTAATCTATCTTGTTGCGTTGATTTTAATAATTCTTGTCTACCTTCTTTTGTACCGAATAACCAATCAGATTCTCTAACAATTTTATGTTATTTATAATCAGTATTATTTTCAAACAAATTTAATTTTCATGTTAAAATAAATGCGATATTTTACCTCCCTTGGGGTACAATAAAAGCAGCGTAAGATCTTCGTTCTTTCACTATTACTTGATCTAAAATGTATACTCTGTACCTTGGCTCTTTTTCACCGGGCTTATGCAAATCAAGATAAATTTCCCCATCATTTGCGATGCTTCCTTTGTACAAACTATTGCACACAGATGCGGCTTTCTGAGTTTCTATGATCTGTTCCACAACTTCTTCAGTGCTGATCAATCTTACCAACGAGTCATCCGTCAAACCAATTTCTAAAATCTTTTAAAAATGGAAGGAAAAGATCTTTAAAAATTTTTACATTTAAATATTTTCTTAATTTTTCTCTACTTGTACTACTATAATATTAATATTTGATTTTAATAAACGTAAATGTGTAGTTGGAAAATATATACATACCGGTTGGGATAATTTCATAAACTTGGTAAGTATGACCATAAAAATGGGCATAGTTTTTTCATGCTGTGCTCTAGACTTTATTTCTACATGATGACAACGTATTATACGAAATGCAAAAGTTAATGCAAAATCTTTAAGAAGTTTTCGTAAAATATGTTCTTGTAGAAGCGAAATACAAATATATCTTCCATTTCTTGGTAAGATTCGTTCAATTCCCTATAATATATATTTTTCATTAAACAGTTTAAAATAATTTTCTGTATTCTAATTCGTCTCAGATCGGTAAGTATTAAAATTTCAGAAGATACAAACTTCAAAGTACTTATTAATTAATATTTCACTATCATTATCATTATTTGCCATAAGAGCATCCAACGTCCCTTTATCCAAAATAATATTAAATTCTCCGTTATTATAGGTCATTTTGGTAGCATCCATTTGAAGGAAAAGTAAATCGGGTCTTATGGTTTTATTCATTTTTTGCATTTGTTTGATAACAATGTGGGATACGTCAATATTTGTAATATTTCTATGAAAATAAAAATTTCATATAAAATTTGTTATGCAGACAAGAGGACAAGAAACTAACTTATAATCAGCATCGTAGAGATTCATTCCCAATGTTGAATTACCACATCCAACTATAAGAATTTTATCTTTGTGTTGAATATATTTAAATAAATAACTACTTAATTCTAGAAATTCTCCATACCTAAAATATAATTTTTTTAATATAAAGAAGGATTAAAATAAATACTGCATAAACTATTTCTACCATTCAAATGCTTTGTGCCCTCTCTTTTTAAAGAAATTGTTCCAATAATCAGCTTTGCAAAAATCTTGATGAGACTTCGGTAATAAATTCATAACAATATCAATTAATTGGGATGTTCAATAAGATAAAGGTAATTCAACGAAACTTATAAGTTAAAATATTTTAATTATATATTAATAATGAACTCTAATGTTTACAATATATTTAAATACTTTTTGTAGTTAATAACGTACGTGCAATGTTCACATGTATTTTTAAAGTTTTACCGGCTGCCGATAAAATATAATAATAATAATGACAATAATAACACGGGGGAGAATAAAAATCCGCGGGAAATTAAAATGAATTGTATTAAGAACTTGTCCAATTATTAATATTTCTTTTATGTTGCATAATCATAAATTATCAATTGTTTGCAATAAATTTAAATATATATATATATATTATATATATATATATATATATATATATATATATACATATATATATAATTTTATTAATAAGCAAATTGAAGATTTATATTAAAATTTATTAAATTATAAAATATACGAGTAATTAATAAATAAAAAGTCTATTTTCCGCCTCGAGGAACGTAAAATAAAAATTTTTATAGTCAATATAATTAAAAATTTTAAACAAAATATTAAGTTTTAATATAAACATTAATTAATTAAACAATATATATTAATACGATAGTTTAATATTTATATAAATAATTTAGAATATTTGTGTCGTGTATGTTACTTATTTTAATAAAAAGTAATTGAAGGAGTGTTTGAACAGACGTGCCATATAAGGTAAAAGGTGATTTCGCATATGTTCAAATAAGCAAACGCGTCATAATTATTTAAAATATCTATTCGTATATTAAGCTATCAGTGCGTAATTATTCTCAAGTGTTTTCAGAGAATGAATTAGAATAATTATAAGCAAAAGCGCCCGTTTATTTTCAAATATTTACGGTTTTGCTTGTTTTATATTTATATATATATATATATATATATATATCAAATTGAATCATATTTTACTTTAATGATGATTTAGCAATTATATTAAAAAATATTAATACCATAAACGTGTTTAGTTGTATCGCAAACAATGAACAAACTCGAACATTATGAAATTAGTTTTAAATCACATTTAAAATTAACAAAAGAATTAATTACGAGCAGCTCATTATTTTATTGTTTTTTAATTTATTTTAATATAACGATTTTAATATTATTGCCTTGTTCATTGATTCATTTAGACAGAGATAATTTGTAAGTCCTAAAATATTTGTAACATAATTCTTATTAAATTTTGAGTTACTATAAATAAAATTTCGATATAAGAAAAATAAATTCAATTCTTCAAAATTCTTTTATTAGAATATAAATTCTAACATTAGCCTTTTATTATTTCTAATTGTAGCTAAATTATTCACCTTGTACTGTCATAATATAATTATGAAAATTTTATTTATTAACTATTTTTAAATGTTTAATAAATAATATACCAAGGAATGTGCAGTATACATTATTGGATAAACAAAATTTACAAAATTTAGTTTCAAGTGGAATATTCAAATTAGCGATTTAGAAAAGACCTTATAAGCATGTAATTGCTATTGCATTTCTAACAATATACCTTTGATTTTCATTGATTATTTACATTTAAAATTTCATGTGTAATGCTAATTAATTATATAGGAAATAATTTTTTTACGAAATATCATACTACTGCCGAACTCAGTGAGAATATAGTTATCGAAAATAATGTTTAAAAGTTATTACAAACTTAATTAATACATAAAGTTTTTAGAGTGGAAATTTTATAGTAGAACAAAGGATTAGATAATTGTTATGTTCTCACTAAATAATAATTGAAAACGAATATAATGTTATTTTCAATTTTTCAATTTTTCAATTTTTTGCACAAGCACTTGAAATTTCATAAACATCAACTAACAATAATACATTTTTCCTTATCTCTAGTTTTAATCAATGTCACATAAGGATCACAGCTACACGAACAAAAATAATCAGGATGTCAACATAATTGTTTATATGAAAGTCACTTAAAAAAGTTCTCTATAATCTAAGCTTAGATTTTTCGATTAAGTAATCATTACAGTAATAAAATTACATTACAATACAGTGATAAAATTTTTTATCATTTCGAACGACAATAAGATTACAGTTTTTAATATTAATACTTTCATTAGCCATTATACCACATTCTTAATTGAATAAGCTTTATGAAAGTTCGATATATTGTAGGTGCCATCGTAAGTTGCAATTCTTTTGAAATGTAAAATGTATCGCAAAAAAAAGTGAGAATAAATAAGTATCGATGTTGTCGTATAATTTTTTTTTTTTTTTTTGTTTTTTCACCGAGACTCTTAAAACGAATATGTGTCATATATTTATTTAAAATTGGAAAAAAATTGTAATACTCCAGTATCATAAAATTGTTTGTTTAAAGATGGCTTATCATTCATGGAAAATCATGCAAAGTTTATAAAAGTTTATGGGCGCGTCGCTCCATTATTTCCAAGGAGGCAAAGCAAAAAGCCGAGCACCGGCTGCCAAATTTAAACGCGGTAGCCTCCAGGACGACCGACACTCCGGGAGGCCGAGAAAGGGAAGCCAAAGAGGCGCAACGACAAAGCCGAGGTAGATATACAAGATATACCGGCGCTCTCGCCCCGATTGAAATTGCTCGATAATCGAGGGAAAGCGTCGCTACCGCCGCACATATATTATGCAGACGCGCGAGCCGGCAATCAATAATCTATGGAGATGCGCCTTTATATATTTATACGTTGTATGCGCGTGTAATTAGCCGTGTTCGTACGTAGGTAGGATGAGTATAATTCGCGATCTGAAGGCCAAAATGAGCGAATAAGATGAAGCGGTGGCGACGGCGGTGTCAGCGACGGTGGCGGTGGTGACGGCAGGAGTAGCAGCAGCAGCAGCAGCAGCAGCAACAGCAATAGCAGCAGCAACAGCAGCAGGAGCAGGAGCAGCAGCAGCAGCAGCAGCAGGAGTGGAGCAGCAGGTGATCACGTCGATCAGCAGCCGTCGCCCGAAACTCGAGAGACGATCGTCACGTGTGTGCGTGTGCCATCGCTGCGGCATAATTGTTCGTGCAAGCCGAGCGGCGATTCAATTATAGATGCCTACATGGGCGCGCTTACGTGTGTGCACCCATGATGGGACACCGGGGCCTTAATGCGAGCGACAATCTGTTAACGAGCTCTAAGCAGCGATATTGCCGGTCTCTTGCCACATATCGGTTCATCGTTTTTTTTTTTTTTTTTTTTTTTTTTTTTTGTAGCGGAATCTCGGGCTTTTACGTCCGAGGGCAATCCCACTTAGGCGCAGTGCTTAGAGATTTTAATCAAAGTGCTTAGAGACATTGAATATTTATTTATATTTCATACGATTGATAGATATTGCTGAAATTGTTGAGCTCACAGCTCATAAAAAGGTGGTTTGATCTACTTGATGCACTTTGCGATCATTCGTAAAATATAATAATTAGCAATATATATATATATATATATATATATATATATATATATATATATATATAAATATATAGATTTATATATATACAGTTT